ACACACACACACACACACACACACACACTAACTGTGATAAGTGAAAAATCAAGGTGTAGTGGCATGATTTAGCGGTGGGGATATGGAGCCAGGCAGAACCCTGGTGCTCACTGGCCAGGTAGCCTAGCCTGTATGGTGAGACCCTATCTCAAAAACAAGGTGGGTGACATTTGAGGAGTGACGGCTACATTTTTCTTTTGTCTCTACACTCATATGAACACGAAAAAAAATTACAAAATCAAAATAAAATGTGTGGGCACACATAACACCAACACAAAGACAAAATTACAAGACCCACACCAGAAAGGACACAAACACTCTCCCCTGCACCTCCACAGATTGTTCCCGATCCTGAAGAGATGGAGTCCTCCTCCCTGTTCCCATCAGCCCTCTGGCCCTACTTCCTTTCTCCTCAGCAATCCTCCAAGCCCCGGCCTCATGCTTCCTCCAGCTTCTCCGCCGTCACCCGGACAGCCCTCTAAGGCTGTGATGTCTGCTCCTCTGAGGTGCTGTTGGCCTGTGGATCCTCCCTCCCAACACCTGAGTGTGATTCTGTCACCTGAACCTTACCCAGGGCATTTCCCCGCCTGTCCCTCACCAGCTTTCTGCCTAAGGCTGGCTGGGCTGTCATCTCCCTGTCCATCCCCTGACTCTGATGTCCAGCTCCACACAGAATGCCCCTTTTCGTGTCCGGAAAGACCGGATATGGGCCCGGGAGAGAGAAGACAGAGAGGCGGCCTACCCAGGAAGTTGCGGCAGCCACCGGCTGTGGAGCCCCGGACCCAGCTTCCCTGGTGGATGGTCACTTCCCACCTGTGGAGGGAGCTGTCCTCCAGGGCATCGGGCGTGAGGTTGCAGACCTCTAGTTTGTCAAAATGGGTCTTGAAGTCCTCAAATGCCATCCTGAGACGGGAGGGGGGATGGGTGCGTCAGAGCATCATGGCGATGGCACCCGCTGTCTGTGCAGTCAACCCCCTGACCCCCCCAGGGGAGGGGGAGACCCAGGGGTCCCTCCCAGGAGGAAGGAGAGAGACAGAGAAAGGAAGACGATGAGGAAGGACAGGGAGAGGGCATGGCAGTTTTTGGCCCTGTGCACCCCACTGGCAAACAGAACTGGGGAGGATGGCACCTACCAGAATTCCCCGTCGTCAAGGGCGGTGTGACCCAGGCGCTTCTGCTCCTCCAGGTTCACTGAGCGCCACTCAGGAGAGCTGCAAGAACAGAGCCACAGTTCAGCCTGGGCGCTCCACCTCCCCAGAGCCATGCCAACCGGCTCACACACTGGCCCAGGGACACGAGGCCAGCTCACGGCTGGCCCCAGCAGGACGGTGCCCAGGAAGTCCCTTTGTAGGTCATAAGGAGCTGAACACAGTAGCCCAGCCAGTGGTCACAGCTCATGAACGTCCCTGACTCCCAGCCTGCCTGTGGCCTGGAGCAGGCCAAGCCCTTCTGGTTTATACATTGACACTTGGGTAGTGCTTCTAATGCTTGTGGTTGTCATTTGAAATGCCGAGTGTCCCGTTGATGTCACCAGGAGCTGGGGAAGGGTCTGCTGTGGTGAGTTCCAAACTCAGGTCCCAAGCTGAAGGCTCAAGTAGGCCTGGAACTCACTCCTGGAAAGCACTATCAAGGACAAATGCCAACGCCCTTGCCAGGCATTCCAGAGTCAGGTTGTGTGTGGGAATGTCCTCACTGCCTTCTAACACAGCAGTGTCCCTGGCCCTGGGTTCCGAGCCCCAGGGTACTGAACCTGTTTCCTCACGCGTACACAGACGGTGAGTTCGGTTTTCGACTACACAGGAAGAGCTCAGGAGCAGTGCGGCAGAAGTTGTGTGGATGTGTTCTCCATTATCTATCAATTTACTCTCCGCTACCTCTCACCTGCGCAATCAATATCATATTCATTAGACATCTGTCCATGCATTCACACATCCGCTGCCCATCCATCCATCATGCACACACCCATTAACCCATTATCTCTGCCCATCCTCTCTGCATCCGTCATCGACACACCTGTTCTTCACACACCATGTCTGGGCACCTATCAATCTACCTACCTGTTACCTACCTTCCTGCCCGCCAGCCCATCATTCACATCTATAATCCATCCATCCGTCTACTCACCCATCCATCCGTCATGTGTGCCACATCTATCATTTATGCATTGGTACAAGAATGTACCCATCCACCCTTATCTGTCTGTCTACCCATCATCTGTGCATTCATCCATCATCTTCTCTCCTGATTAAGCTGACCACTTTTCTGTTTGCACTTGAGGGGTGCATTTTCTGGTTTCTCGGACCTGTCTGAGTGTCACTGTTCTTGAACTTGGAGTCATCATGAAATCGAATGAGGTCGCCTGAGCACGCACCCTGCAATAGGCCTATAACAGTGGCACACGGCATGGATGCGTCACCGCACTAAGAATGGCGTGGCGGTTCACGTTTATTCCAGGCCGTGTTTACTGTTACAATCTTGCATATGATATTGCATTTTCAGACCCCAACCGATGGTGTTCAGCTGAAACTGTGGGTGGTGACATTTCAGGTGAAGAGAGCTGCTGTCATTTAAACCCTTCACTTCTGCTGTGCTCCTGTGACTGTGAGACAGGTTCTTTCTGTGTTCACTTGGGCAGCCGGGGAGGCTGGGGAAGGACGGAAGAGAGAGCTGAGGGCCTCAGTTGTGTTCTCAGTGGGTCCTACCCAGTGATGGGCCCAATGTCCCGGATGGGAGCACAGGACACCACCTCGGGTTTCCCTGTCAGCCTTATTAACTCAGGTTCCACTCTGTCTGAGTTCCTCTCATTTCCGGTGGCAGAGGAAAGCCGATCTTGCCCTTCCTGTGCTGTCCTTCCCAGCCAGTCTACGTGAGATCTGAGCTGGGCTGAGCTCAGCTGAGCTGGGCGGTGAGGAATTGGTGGGACAAGTGCAGGGGCATGGGTCACCTGGTCACCGCCCAGGGCACAGGTGAGCACAGCCTGGAAGGCCGGCCTTTCCAGTTAGCAGAGCCTGGTAACGGTCAACTGCCCGTTCTGCTGCCATTTCTCTGCTGGACCATGGGCTTCTGCCAGGGACCGACAACCACCAGGGAGAACCTTAGTGTGACCTGATAGGCAGCGTTTCAGGGAGTGTTGGCCTCAAAATACTCATGCATATCCTTAACATCCCTACACACACACCCTTACACACTCATAGCCTTACACACACACACACACACACACAGTTGCTCAGAACTGGAGTCTAAGTCCTTCCTGTTAGTGGCGGCAACAAGTTCAACAGCAAACATGATCACGTGACAGGGAGAGAGCCGTGTCCTGAGAGCTGTTTATCCAGGGTCACCTTGACTTAGGTGCCCCAAACAAGGCCTGAAGGGAAGAAGCGGGGCACAGAGGCAGGGTAGGGAGCTCTGGGCGAGCCAGTCCCTCGCAGGTGTGCACAGGCCAGCCTGGCTGCCTGTGCCGGGGGCGGAGCCACTAACCTGTCACTCCAGCGCCCGGTCCACTCCACCTGGCCCCAAGGGTTCCGGACCCTGATGAGCTGGATTCGCTGGCCTTGGACAGTTACCTCAAAGGAAACAGCGGCAGATCAACATGCTGAGCCGAGGCTGCCGTTAGCTAGCCGCACCCCGGGGCCCATCCGTGTGCACAGCGCTGACGTCAGCCAGGCTCTGGAGAAAAACGCACAGATTCGGAGCGCAACCTCGCTTCTTCCTTCGTGCCTGAGGCACGGTCTCGCTGTTTCCTATAATTACGGTATCTCCAGCTCTGGCCAGACTCTTCGTGTTGGTAAGGGTACACCTGAGCCAGGAGGGGGTAGGGAAGGAGATCTGAGAAAGGTGGGAGAGCTTAGACGGTATCCCGGGCCGAGATCTCAGCTCAGTTCACTCCACAGGCTGGAGAGGGCTGTGCTGTGACATGGGAACAATTCAGACGGGCCGAGGTGGTGCTCAGTCAGCAGATGTGAATTCAGGAAGCCAGAGTTGGGTCCCAGCACCACTAAACTGTTTCCAACGCCTGGGTGCTAGAGGCAGGGGCATCAAAGCCAAGGCCCAAGTTCGAGGCCAGCTAGGGTATATGAGAGTCTATCTCAAATGAAACAAAACAAAACCAATGTCAGAGTTCAGGAGCTCACAGCTCTGTAATCAGACAAGCCAACACTTGGAAGACCTCCCTCACTCGGAAATGAGCAAGGGCCTTATCTGTGCCCACAATGCAAAAGGGCCAGGTGAGATGACACTGGGCCGGGAGATCTGCCCGAATTCTACACGCCTACTCCAGTGAGCAGGTGTCTCGAAGGTGATGGGAACAGACGTGCCAGTGACCAGCATCCTGAAGGGAACAGTGGCCTGAATCCTGAAGCCCAGAGCCCACCCCCACCTCAGACCTGAGCTGCAGCACAGTGGGGTGCTGACATTCCCTCTTCACTACTGAAACGTTCAGAGAGAAGGGGTCACGGTGCCTTTGTCAGCCATGTTCTCTACAGATGAGGCTGGACACCCATCCACAGAGGGCCCCGGGCAAAGCAGGCCGCGAGGTTGGCTGGACTTGAGGGGGTTGGAGATTCCAGCTTCTTTTTGTCTCTCTCCCCCCATTCTCTCCTCTCTTCTCCGCATGCCCAAGAGCCTCTCCCCTGAGACAGCCACTCCCTAGAGTGGAGGCGTTCTTGAGGGGCCTGGCTGTCTGAGGGCCAGTTCCACACTAGACTGCAGCTATCACGGAGGGATTCAAGGTGGCCGTGACACAGTCCATGTGTCAGCTGGACTGGGCCATGGGGTGGCCAGATATTCAAAAAGAGCCGAATGTGTCTGTGACTTTTATGTGACAGACTAAGTTTTAACTGGAAGATGTAGCAAGGGCTGGCATCTGCAGAGCGGGGCAGGGAGAGCACAGGGCAGAGGAGAGACGCTGCCGTGCTGCCTGCTGGGCCGGGCCGGGCTCACAGGGGCCACACTGCTGCGTTTCCGCCTCCCTCAGCCTCGGCCGCCGAGAGCTACATGAGACACAGCAGAGCGGCTTTCATAACCACACAGGCCAGTCCCAATCCGTTCACATAATAATCGCTCATATGTGTGTATATGTGTGTGCAATTGCACGTGTGTGTATATACGTGGGCATAGCTCCATAATGAACATGTACATATGTGCTCAGATCCGCAATTTATGTGTTCATACTTATATAAAACGGGCATGCTCGTGCACAGGGACAGAAACACGAATATGTGTGTGACTATGCATAATTTACATGACCTGTGCGTATAGAATGAACATGCACATCCGCATGCATATGTAACAACTATAACAAATATCCATATGTGTACATACAGTGAGCAAGCATGGATAAGTATGTAGACATGTTTATTAATTGTTCTTGTAACGGCTGTGCTTGTCTGCAGAACCCTGGCTGCATGTGACTGCTGTGGAATGTGGAATTGGGAAAGAATTTGTGTACAGACACAAAATCCAAGGAAGACCAACTGCCAGCCCCAGAGGGTGAATTGGTTTGTTTGTGCGTGCTTGTGTGCGTGTGTGCGTGGGCCGCCTGCCCCCGCTCCTGGTCTCTGTCTGCGGTTTCTCCTCCCTGCCTGCCTGTGTCAGGGGCCGCTCCTGTCCCCACCTCAGTCCTCACAGCAGGCCCTGCCCCTACCTGGTCCAGTCCAGTGACAGTGTAGGCATGGCCCTTAATAAGACCAAAAGGTGTGCGGGCCTCAGATTCCGAGGCGTTCAGGACCTAGAGAGAGGAAGAGCAGGTCAGGCCCACATGGAGGCCAGCCTCCCCTGCCCCAGCACCGTGCCTCGCTCGGCGCAGCCCAGCTCTCGGCTCAACCAGGGCAGCCATGTTGTAGGCCTTAGGGGTTGGGTGTGCAGGACCCCTAACAGGCTTTTCAGGGATACACAGCAAGACCAGTCTCTTTCGGGGCTGGGGAGGGCGGGCCCGCATGCCTCACACTGAGGCTACTTTCTGACCGCAAATAGAAACTGGCTGTCCAGTCAGTTAGTGAAGGACACCCCAGTCACACAGGAGAGGCCACCCCGGTGACACGAGATTTGGTCGTGAACACAAACCTGCAGGACACACACACACACACACACACACACACACACACATAGATCTTTGCAGTTAATCCAAGAGGAAAGGGAAATGTTGAAGGGATTTAAAGAGCAGAGGGTATAAAGTTATATCTGGATATGTATTCTGTGGTAGAAGAGTTCGAAAAATGCCATTGGCTCTCTTTCTGGTGAATTTTCTTTCATGGTGTAGGATGTAAAAAGAACACATTTCAGAAGCACACATGGGAGGGCCCCGTCAGCAGGATGAAGCTTCCCATGGTGACGCACAGATGCCTGGTAGCCCTGGTGTTGAGGGAGGCCAGGACCCTGGTGCCAGGGAAGCAGCCCTGGGCAAGATGGGGCATTGGGAGCTCAAGGTGCCCCAGCTGGCAGCAGGTGTGCTCGCCCTCTGCAGTCCAGCAGGCGGTGGATGAAAGCCTGCATTTGCTGCGTGCTTGAGAGGGTCACCTGCACCCCAGCGCGGCCTTGGGTTAGGCCTTTGAACTCGGGGTTCTCCCGCCACTGTCTCCCGAGTGCTGGGAGCTGTGGCTCTACTTCGCCAGCCTGGCTTATGCAGTGCTGGGGACGGGCCGCAGGGCTTCCTGCATTCCAGACACGAGGTGTGTGCCCACACCTCGTGTTTCAGTTAAAGAGGACCGCCTTCCAGGTACTCTTGCCCCTCTGAATTGCCACTTCCGTCTGTTGGCACTCACGTCTATGGAGCATCCCAGCAGGGACCCGCGCCTCAAGGCCTTCTCCAGAATCTCGTAGAGGTCCTCCGGCGCCTCTCGGGTTTGGAAGGTCTCGGCCACACCCCCGGTGAAGTCTTCCATGGCCTCGATGGTGCTGCCCCCCTTCAGCGCCTCGTAGCTGCCGTTAAGCCTACAAAGATGGAGGAGCAGGCCGGTTGAGGGAGTGGAGAGACAGGAAAAGTGCGGGGTGTGCCCAGGCCACAGAGCTCAAGCTGGGCTCTGCGAGGAAAGGCAGTGGCTGGTGGTGGGCCAAGCCCTGGGCTAGCAAGCTGGCACCCAGAGGACACGGGGTCTGGAGACCTCTCCTGCTGCCATCCCTGCCAACAGCTTTCTACACGTTTAAACTGCTCGGTTTTCCTATTTGTTCTCCTGCTTCAGCCTCCGAAGGGCTGAGATTACTTTTTACCCCTTTTGTTTTTTGAGACAGGCTCTTACTCTGTAGACCCGGCTGCCTCAAACTCATAGCAATCCTCCTGTCTCAGACTGCCCAGTTCTGGGGCTGTAGGAGTAAGTCACGGCGCCCGGCTTCTCCTTGTGGTGGTGGGGGGACACACATAATCTTGTTAGATAGCCTTGCGTAGCCTGAAACTCGCTCCGAAGACCAGGCTGGGCTCAAATTTAAGGTGAGCCTCCTGCCTCAGTTTCCCCAGAGCTGGGGTTCTGGGCATTCATTACCAGGCACAACTTCTCAATTTTGTGTGTAAATGTGTGTGAGTAAGTGTGCATGCTTGTCCCTGTGCACACACAGAGGCCGGGGAGGACATCCGGCGTCCCACTCCGTCACCCTCCTCCTTACTCCCTGGAGACAGGGTCTGTCACTGAACCCGAGCTAGGCTAGTGGCCGACAACCCTCAGGACTCCGCCTGTCTCTCCTCCCCACAGCACTGGGTTATAAGCATTCACGACCAAGCCCGGTCTTTAGTATTTGTGTGCACAGACTGTGCTCACGCACACACACACACACACACACACACACACACACACACACACATACACGTGCACTTCTCATCCCTAACTCAGAGACAGCGTCACGTCTGCCCTGCACCAGCAGACGCCATGGCCCTGGCGGGACAGCTTGCCCTCCAGCAGCTGGCAGCCGACTTCCCTGCCCTCCGTCTCGCCAATCGCTCAGTCACTGTGTGGACCGCTGCCTCAGGCCTCCGGGGTTCACTGCCGCCTGAACCCCACGAGATGCAACCTTATCTACCAGGGTACAGTGCCCCAATCCCTCAAACACCCACTGCCCCCCCACCTCAACAAGTTTCATTCCAGACATTTGTGATGTGACAGGCTGTGTTTCGAGGGTTGGGACTGGAGGTCTGAGTGAGGGAACGGGGACCGTCTGGCTGGGGGTTAGAAATGAACGAGCTCACTCCACTTATGAGACTTCCCTGGACTTGTTCAAACACAGAGACAAGAAGTGGACGGTGCCAAGAGGGGGCTGGAAGGACAGGGGCCGGAGAGTCACTGGGCTTTGGTTTTGCAAGGTGATCCGTTCCGGGGATGGGTGTCATGGTGGTCACATGGCAGAGAAGCATGTTAATGCCCTGGAACTCTGCCCTCAAATGTTAAAATGGCGAGTTTCATGTCATGAGCATTTCATAACAACTTTTAAAGGAAGGAGAGGAGCGCTTGCAGGGGACAGAGGGTGTCTTTCCACTCTCGTGGGCGAAAGCCACAGACCCGAGCAGTGGCAAATCTTGGCATGAGAGCGGAAGAACATTGTCCCATGCAGGCACAGTTGGGCCTCTGTCCTCCTGGCACCTCTCCTTCCAGCGTTCCCAAGGGCAGGTGGTGACTCGGGAGACAGAGGAGACATGTGCCCACTGTGCCTGAAGCACGAAAATGGCCCAGTGGTCCTGACAGGCACCGAGCATCCCCGGGGGAGGCCGGGCCTCCGAGGGCAGGAGGACAGAGCCTCACTCACTTGGCATAGGCTTTCTCCAGCAGCGCGCTCCAGAACTCGTTGTGGTCGGCAGAGTGGAGGAAGACCAGGCGGTCCCGGAAGGTGGGCAGACGGTCATCAATCACCACGTCCAGCCACTCACTGTGCTGCCAGAACTAGCGCCCGGGGCAAGACGAGGTCACAGGGTGAGTCACGCAGAGGTGCAGGCCCCTGGCAAGTGCTCACCCCGAGAAAACTGCTCCAAGGAAAACCTCATCTGGTGCCACGGCAGGGCCACACGAATGCCATGGCAAGGCCACCTGCCTGTCACAGCAGGGCCACCTAGGGTTTGTCCACGGGGCCACATACTGGGCCTTCACCCACCATGAAAATCAACTCCAGGCCTGTGTCCCCATGGGAGTGGGCGAGGGAGCAGTCACAGTAGATACTGCTGTGCTCCGAGCTAATGCATCTATTCCACAGGTCACCGGTTGGGTGGGCAGGGGACGGTGGCCTCTGAGCTTAGCTCTGTTCACAGCCAGCCCCAGCTCCACACACAGCCCCACCCAGTTCCAGCCTTTCACTGTCCCACATTTTCCAATCCACATGATTCCCTCCTGTCTCCTAGATGGAGCCCAGACACGAATGTGTCTGGACTTGGTTTTCCTGTGTGCCATGATTGTGGAAGTGAGGGGCGTATGGGTAAGGCTTGGGTGTTTGCGTGCATGTGAGAACACGCATCTGTTGGCGTGGGTACCTATACACAAGCATGTATCTGTGACCCTGAGTTCGGGTGCATGAGGTGTGTCTTCCTGTACTTGCACGTGTGAGTGGATACATCTAAACGTGTGTTGTGTGGATACTTTAGTTAGCGTCAGCTGTCGTTGTGGGGTCATCTAAGGGCATCAGACGGACGAATTGCCCAGATTGGGCTGCTGTAGCCCTGTCTGAGCAATGGTCTTAACTGATGTGGAGAGCTCAGCTCGAGGTGGGCGCTGTCTGCAGCAGATAGTGCTGGACTATGTAAAATGGTATGAGGCGGGCGTGGTGGTGCACACTTTAATCCCAGCGCTCGGGAGGCAGAGGCAGGCGGATCTCTGCGAGTTCAAGGACAGTCTGGTCTACAGAGTGAGTCCAGGACAGCCAAGCCTACACAGAAAAACCCTGCCTTGAAAAACAAAAATAACAACAAAGAGAGAGAGAGAGAGAGAGAGAGAGAGAGAGAGAAGCAAAGGAAAAAAAAGAAGAGGGGAGGAGAGGAGAGAGAAGAGAGGAGAGGAGAGAGAAGAGAGGAGAGGAGAGAGAAGAGAGGAGAGGAGAGAGAAAAGAGGAGAGGAGAGAGAAGAGAGGAGAGGAGAGGAGAGGAGAGGAGAGGAGAGGAGAGAAGAGAAGAGGAGAGGAGAGAAGAGAAGAGAAGAGAAGAGAAGAGAAGAGAAGAGAGAGAAAAGGAGAAAGTTAGTATGAGCTGGGGAGCAAACTATGGTTTCTGCTTGCATTCCTGCCCTCATTTTCCCTCAGTGATGAATTGTGCATTGCCTATGTGCTTAGAAGAATGTGTGAGCTTGCACAGGCATGTGGGTGCATGTGTGTTTATGAGTACAGGTATGTGGGCACATGTGTGTGAGTATACACACATATGAACATGTGTTTGACATTGCGCTGATCCGTGTGTTAAGCGTGTGTTTGCCTAGGTGAGGAGATAGGCAGGGGAAGCAGAGGACAACAGGAAACAGACCCGAGACAAGCTTCAGCACAGCTCAGGCTACAGTCTCATGGCTGTTTCTCATGTTTGTGTTTGAATTCCCACCTGCGCGTCCTCGGTCAGGGAGCCGCTTTGCTCATGAGAAGGGCTGTGGCTCCCCTGGGAAGCCAGCATGGTTCCCTGAGGCTCCCAGACACCCCTCTCCTGCTGCCTCTGGAAGCCCTCAGGAGACTCCCGGGGGCTTGGCACGATGGCTCACGCGCACTGCCACACAGCTTCCTGGGCTGCTCACAGTACACAGCATCTCCGGGGCCTCCTCCCCCCCACAAGCAAACCCAAGGGCCCAGGCCTCCCTCACCTGGAAGTGAAATATCCCAGCATAGCCAGAGCGGAATCCTTGGTCCTGTGGGACCACCCTGGCCAGCGCTTTCTGATTGAGGGTTAGGGAGGCAATGGCTGCCAGGAGCCAGCAGTCTCCTGCAGAGTGAAAGTCACATAAGCATCACGCTTTCTCAGCCGCTGGTTCCCAGCAGTCAAGGAAAAGCAATTCCAGAGGGCTGTGGAGACACTTCTCTGCTTTGCTGAAAGCAGCGGAGGGCCAGCAAACACCTCTGTGTCCTTGCCTGCAGCCTGCTCTCCTGCCCTCCTCTGTGGTTGGCTCCTGGACACTGGCAGTTGGCAGTATTGCTGTGTGGTTTGAGACACAGTGGATTCTCCTCTTCATAAGTCAGAGGACCAGGGCTATGTGACATGTTGACAGTAGCTCTGTGGCACTGGCTGGGAAAAGCTCTTGGAAGCTACCCACTGGTACTGTTCAGACCCGGGCTACTGCCTCTCCGAGATTAGGCTGTAAGCAGCAACAGCTCCAAGTAGCTCCATTTCCCTCCTTCCTTCCTCCCTCCCTTCCTTCTTTCATTCTTTTTTATCCTCCCTGGTCTTTTATAACAGGGTCTCATCCAATAGGCCAGGCTGACATGGACCTCAGTTTGTACCAATACATCTGTCCATCTTCCATTTATCCATCTGTCTATCATCCATCCATGCATGCATCTTTGTACATCATCTATGCATCTATCACTCATCCATCCATCATTCATCTACCTATCCATCCATCTATCCATCCCTAATCTACCCACACACCATTCTTCTTTTCATCCATTCATTGACCATCTATGTGTCATCTATCTATCAATTCTACTATCTATCTGTCAATCATATATCATCTCTGTCCATCTGTTTAGTATGATCTGTTGACTTTTGTATGGTCTATCTATCTTTCTATCATCTATCTGTAGTTTAAATAATATATCTATTAGCTACTATCTATCTATTTATCACCTATTTGCTATCTAGCATTCATCATCTATTACATATGACTTTGATAGTCTATTTATATATTATTTGCTTTAATCTATCATCTGCATATCTATATTCTATCATCTATCTCTTATCTGTCTATCATATATTTATCATCTGTCTACCTATCATCTATCTATCATCCATCAATCTGTCTATCTCTCATCTATCTCTTTCTCAGTCTAGCTAACTGTCACCACTGTGGGCAGCTGGCTTGAGGATCTGTGTGGAGACAGGTCAAGTTCTCGCTGAGGTTCAGGTAATCTGTTCTAGCACCAGGACCACAGTGTCTTCCTGGGCTCTGGCTCAGTCCTCACAATGTGCTTCCTTCGTCAGCAGACTCTACAATGCACTGTTTTTCACAGATTCGATGAGAGCAAGCCTTGCCCAGTTTTACCCTAACTCCTGCCCCTGCTGTGCCGTCCACTGGGTCCCTTGTAGGAGGAAGGCGGTGTGAGCATGAAAGCTGCTGTGGGTGCTGGCTAGACGCATGGTCTCTGTAACCAGTGATTTCTCAGTCTGGCTGCCCATTTGTCTCTCGTGACCTTGGACGTACTGCTTGCTCCCTTGCCTCAGTTCCTCACAGGAAGCGTTGGGAAGGTGGCTGGGACAAAGAACAGAAGCGTGCAGTCTTAGGGAAGTACGCAGCAGGTGAACTGCTCACGGTGCAGGCATTAGTGAGCTATAGAACCATGAGCCACCACTGGGGAGCCTCTGAGTCAGGTGCTGCTTCTGGGGGTGGGGGGTTAGCTCTCGGGGAACTTCTGGACAGGCACAGAGCCCAAACACGATGTTACAAGAAAAGTGGGCATGCAGGGCCAGGGAAGCATCTGGACTCCATGCAGGGAAGCACCAGCCACCTGGAGAGGAGCAGACGGGGTGGTGGCCTTGCTCTGCCCAGCCCTGTGCCCTGATCCTCACATGCCTGTATGGCATTGAGGGTGGGAGCCTGGCACCCCCTCTCCTCCCTACTTACCCAGCTCCCCCTGGCAGATGTCAGTCCTGGTGGCCCCTCCAAGAATGAATTCTGGGTTTTCCACAATTTCCTGGAGGAACAAGAGCATCTTAGGGAGGGCCCAAAGCAGGATGTCCACCAGAGACACGGCAGCCCCGCCCCTCAGGGAGGAAGAGTCTCACTGCGGAAGGCCAGGAGGAGGCTACAGCTGCCCGGGCTATATTCGCTGATGTCCTGGCCTCAGCTTGGTCCACCCACAGCTCAGCACAGCACCTTCCTCTATAGAAACTCACACCATATCGACTGGGGATGGCCGGTGGGGGGTGGGGTGGTCAGCCATGCGCCAAGCCTCCCGTTTCAGTCCTTGACCTGACACAGATTGCTTCTATGTAGCCCTTACTGTGAGACCTGCAGGCCTCGGGCTTCGAACTCTGCAGCATGCAATGAGCATGGGGTCCAGCATCTCAGGCCAGCGTCCCCTGGTCCCACCCAGCTGCTTCTTTTCCCTAATAGATTTTCTATGTCCATATTGCATCCACAAGGGTTTACACGTCACCCATAATTTTATCTGCACTATGTACATTTTATTATGTTTTACCCCGTTATTAGGCATTTATGTAATTGTGTGCTGTATTACTATAAACACTAACATGTAGAAACTTAATATTGAAGGTTCTATATAAAAGATTAAAAAGTAAAAGCAATTGTATAAAATCTGTGGGTTTTTTGAGACAAGGTCTCACTATGTAGCTTTAGCTGTCCTGGAACTTGGTGTGTAGATCAGGCCTTAAACTCATAGAGATCCTCCTGCCTCTGCCTCCCAAATGCTAGAATTAAAGGCATGAACCACCACGTCCATCTAAAACCTGTACTTATGAGAACGGGTTTACAGTCCCATAGGAATGACGTCATATGACATGAAGCATGAGGGTGGGGTCACTTGGTTACTTTGCAACAGTGTAACAGTGTACTGAGGGGCCCCGACTCAGCAGAGGTAAGAAAGAGTTCCCCCATGAGCCTTTTCTGCTCCCTGCGCCTGCGCTGAGGTTGGAACGCATGCTAAGAAAGAGTCCAAATCTATACCCATTTTATTTCATGTTTTATTTTGAGATCGGTTTCACTAGGTTGCCCAAGCTCGCCTCACACTCGCTTACAGCCCAAGCCAGACTGAACTTGGGACCCTTCTGTCTGAGTCTGCTTAGAGCTGGGATCACCTCACTTCTTCAATCATTGGTGTCACCTACCTTGTAGGCTGCTGTCATCGGGCAGGGCCACGTCACTGCGACTTCCTGACCATCCTGCTTGTTCTTTCCTTCTTATGAACCCCAGGCCCTGTGAGTCTGTATCTCTCTGTGTGTCTCTGTCTCTCTGTCTCTCTCTTTCTTTGAGACAATGCTTCACTGCATAGCCTAGCCTGGCCTTGAATTCTCCTACTTTCGTTCTCTTCTGCTCTTCTGAGCATCAGGCTTTGTCCCCGGCATTTCAGCCCAGCACAAGTGAGAGAGAGAAAGTTTGTGTAATCTCCAAGAGATCATCAGTCTCTCAGGGCAGGGCAGGACCAGAAGCCTCACCTTATGCCTTGGGGAGGTTAGGGTGAGCAGAGACCCACACGGAGAGTTCGTGTGGGAGGGATTCCCAAGGAGGCACAGAAGAGGGATGAGCATAGCCTTGGGCTTAGAAGGATGCTCAGGACACAGAGAGGAAGCAGGATTGGTGAAGCTAGAACTGAGGCGGGGCCAGGGCTGGGACAGAAAGCGTCAGGAGTCTCTAACTGGATATTTGGGGTGACTCCAGCTGTGGCTCCTCCTAGCAGTCTGAGCTGTTTTCTTCATCTCTGGGCTCCGTCACAGCGAGATGATGGGAGTGGGGCTAAGAGTGTCATGGGCAGGGATGAAGAGCTGGCAGCGTCCCATGGGGCCCCAAGGATGTGACGGTCTGGGGGTGCAGCCTCCCAGGCTGTGCGCCTTTGTTTGTCTCTGAAGCGCCCATGTGACCTTAGGGGGAGGGTTTCAGGGACAGGCTGTGCTCTTGGCTGTGCCAGAAGCCCAGTCCTGGCAGAAGAAGGCCAGGACGGCCAGCTTCTCCCAGAGACCCTGCACAACCTTTTATCCCGTCCTAAGTCCTCGGCCTCAGGGTCTGTCCACTTCCTGACCTGTCCGCCATGCCCGGGGCCGACGGTGTGCCTCAGGGTGGCTGTGTGGCTGGCTCTCTGGGCAGCAAGGCGCAGCTGCAGCCCTTTCCCAAGCAGAGGTCGGCTTCTCACCAGCCTGGCAGCAGCCCATGCTGGGTATGATTCTCCTGCCCTTCCCCCACTCTCCTTCGCTCAGGGTTTCTAGCCTGGGCCACCTGAGGGTGTGCCACCACCTCTGGTGTCACCTTGGCTTTGTGTCCCTTTCCTCAAACACAGGTGTGTTTGACAAGAAGGAGAGTCACTCTGCCCACACCCATAAAGTGGCCCGGCGTTTGCTACTGAGACGTGTGCTGTATGAGATCCGTACTAAGCCACAGGCTGCTCTGGAGGCGGAGGCAGCTCAGGGCCTCTCCATCCCCCTGCCCCCCATCTGGCCGTATACTTCCGCATCAGCCTGACAAGACACAAGTCAGGGCTCACCACACCTATAGGGCCGGATGCAAAGGACAAGCTCCCCAACTAGGAAGCAGATGTTTGGGAAACAACCTGCAGCTAAGGGGCCATCCTGGCCACACACACAGGAGAGGCAGATCCAGTTCCAACAGCAGCCATCAGAGAAGCTGTGGCCAGGAGACCGGAGAGCCATGAACAGAGGCTCAACCCTGCCTCAGCCAGGGAAGGCAGAGGGACCCAAATTCAGGGCACCTTCTCAAGGTGCATGTGACAGGCCCCAAGGGCTGTAGATCAGGATTTCCTGGTGCTGGGCAGCCCTGTGTGGGTACACATGACAGGTAGGGCTGCGGGCTGGGCTCAGTGTCTCTGGATCTTGGCAGTGTCTCCTCTTCAGAAGGAGAAGGCAGAGGCCCGCAGGCTCTAAAGGAGCAGTGTTTAGTGGGGGTGCAAGGCTGGGATTCACACACACTTGGATGTTAGTGTAGGCGGGGCCTCCTGAGTAGACAGAGCAGTGGTTCTCAAGCTTTCTGTCTTTCTTTTTTCTTTTCTTTCTTTCTTTTTTAAGATTTATTTATTATGTATACAGTGTTCTGCCTGTGTCTGTACCTGCACACCAGAAGAGGGCACCAAATCTCACTATAGATGGTTATGAGCCACCGTGTGGTTGCTGGAACTTGAACTCAGGACCTCTGGAAGAGCAGACAATGACCTTAGCCTCCAAGCCATCTCTCCAGCCCTGCTTCTCAATCTTCCTATGTGCAGCCCTTTAATGCAGTTCCTCATGCTGTGGTGACCCCCAACCATAAAGTTATTTTCATTGCTGCTTCATAACTGCACTTTTCTACTGTTAGGAATTGTGATGTAGATATCTGTGTTTTCCGATGGTCTTAGGCGAGCCCTGGGAAAGGGTTTTTCGGCCCCAGCTGTGGGGTCTCAACCCACAGGCTGAGGACTGCTGGAGCTGAGCATTGCTGCAGCGGGATGTAGAGGACTTGGCTGGCCTGAAGTCATGAGCTACTCCTAGAGGAGGGGGATGGCCTTGGCAGGGAGGAGAGAGGACAGACTGTGAAGAGGAGCAAGAGCCAGGGCTGAGGGTGGAGGAGCAGCGGGGCCAGCGTCTGGGAACACCCAGCGTCCTGGTGCCCGCTCAGCCCACACAGCAAGCCTTCTGCTACACCCCGGGATCCTGACTCCCACACAGAGCAGACACGAGAGTGTCTAGGCTACAGCACATTTGTGCATGCACGTACACACAGAGAAATTCACATGCACAGGACACACACAAATATGCATGTGTGTGCACAGACACTTGTGCATGCACACACACAGAGAGCTACATATGCACACAACACACAAATACACATGTACTGCATGCACATGGGCATGCGAATACACGCTTGTGTGTACAAGATACACACACACACACACACACACACACACACACGTGCTGAGAGTGTGCTATTGAGGCCTGTGGCTCAACACAGGCGACAAATTTCCCACGATCTTGATGACCAGCAGTGCCCAGGACTGGTGGACTGAGCTTGCAGGCGAAGTAGCGCTCCCCTGGGTGAAACGCAGCCCCAGCCTGGGCAGCTGCTGGCCACGGGGTACACACACACACACACGCACACACACACACACACACACACACACACACGCATGCAGCCTGGGCAGCTGCCACGTATCCATTCGTCCTTGTCCTGAGGGCTGGAAACCAGCCCAGGGAGACCCACGGGCGACCAAAGCACCACCAGAGGCCACTCCAATGCCTTGAGACTTGTGCTTTTCCACATTGGAGATATCCGTTTTCTTACACAGCAGAGAACGTTCTACTCTTCCACCCTCGCGTCCTGCCGTTACTCCGTCACTGCCATCGGCCACATGCTGAGAGTCAAACTAGCTTCAAGTGCCAGAGAGAGAGAGCCTGGAAACCATCACCGTGCTCTCCCAGGAGCGCAGAATGCTCTTCCTGCCCCCACCTAAGACACCAAAATGGGACTGAACACGCCCCCTCCCGAGGGAACCTCGGCCTCACCGACGGAGGCCGGAACCGTGTGTGTACATGACACATGTGTATGCACATGAACACACATGCACATGCGGATGTGGGCACAGACATCCATGTGGGCACAGACATCCATGTGGGCACAGACATCCATGTGGGCACAAACACATCCACACAATCTGAAACAAACATGTATGTATGCACACACACACGTAAAAACTGTGCAGTGTTCAGGGCTGGAAGTAGCAGTAAGTGCTGGTTAGTTTTTGTCAACTTGGCACAACCTAGGGTCACGGTGGCGGGGACCCTCAGCGGAGGAGCTGCCTCCATCCGACCGGCCTGCGGGCGAGGCTGTGGGGCATGTTCATGATTGCCGACTGACACGAAAGGGCCCGGCCCAGTGTGGCAGGGTCTCTCGTGGCACGCTGTCTTGGCTTGTGTAAGGAAGGCAACAGGTCTAGCCACAGGCAGCAGGCCGCTCAGCACTTCCCCATGGTCCTGCTTCAGTTCCCGTCTCCAGGCTCCTGCCTCGAGGCCCTGCTCTGGCGTCCTTTTAGGATGGACTGTAAGGAGCTGCCAGGCAAAATGACCCTTTCCTCCCAGTTGCTTCTGGTCATGGCCTTTATAAAGAAAGGCACGCCAGGAAAACCTCACGGCTTCACGGATGCCCCGAGGAGCCTTGGTGTCTTGTGTGGGTGTTTTCTAAGTTAGACGGGACGTATACTTTGCATACTTGTATGACTTTAAAGATGGGTGACGGGAGGAGGCAGCTATGGTAAGCAGATCTGAAGGCCGGTGAGACGGCACAGAAGTTAAAATCACCGGCACAGGACCTGGGCTTGCCCCCAGATGCCACGAGGCAGCAAGAGAAAAGAGACTGCAGAGTTACCCTCTGACTCCCACGGCCGTGCTACGGCGTGTTCCAGCCCACACACGTGCTCGTACAGGAAATGAGGGACGAAGAGAAGGCTCAGCAGGGAGAGGCGCTTGCAGCCAAGGCTGATGGCCCGAGTTTGATGCCTGGGACCCAGACAGTGGAAGGAGAAGACCTGTTCCTGCAAGGTGTCTTCTGACCATCACATGACCACCACAGCTCTCAAGTGTGCGCACACATACATGAACACATGTAATAAAAAGTCAACAGGCAAATGCACTTTAGAGACGAGATTCTGAGCTACCAGTGAAGGAGACGCACACAGCAACACTAACAGTGAGGAAATGTCAGATACGGAGGACACCAGTGTGCTGGCCCGGCCCCACCTCAGCCATCCCAAATGAAGGGCCATGCCTCAGGAGCAGCAGCCGGCCCTGCCCTCCCTGCACACACCCTCCTCCCACCCTGAGGTGCAGCACCTCAGCGCCCAGGGCGGGCCCTGACTAACCAGGTGCTGCAAATATTGACCTTCACCCCGAGCCCCAGCTGGCGCCTCTCAGAGACATCGGAGGCGGGGTGGCACCCACCCACTGACTTTACCTCTCTGGGTGCTCTGCTTGGGAAAAGTGGCCCTGCTTCACCCAGGGCCTGGGCAGCACACGCTGGCTGAGGAATTGCGCCAACGTCCACGTATCTCACAGTGGCCCATCAGCTCTGGGCCGAAGTCCTCAGAACAGGCAGGGCTGGCGCCTCCCGGTATACCACGCAGCTCTCATGGACCCTCCCTGCCATCCTGGTTAGTTTGCCTTTGTGCTCTGATGGAGCAAGTGGCCAGAGGTTTGTCCTTGAGTGACACCTCTCCTGCTCACAAGTCATGGATGAGGCCCTGTCTCTCTATGTCCCCAAACTCAGTGGGACTCAGAGCTGGAGGCCAGATGCCCTGGGGACCAGCTGAAGGTGTCTCTAGCCAGCACGTTACCAGGGAGCCTCCCACAAAAGACAGAAAATAGGCTTACATGTGATGGCCCTTCCCCTTCACCCCCTTCAGAGCTCTCTCTCTCTCTCTCTCTCCCTCCTCCCATCTCTGTCCCTCCCTCTCCTCTCTCTGTTTCTCTTCCTACTCCTCACCCTACTCACCCCTGGCCGTTTCCACACAAAAGGGACCTGGGGCCTCTCACTGTAGAAGAGGGAGGCACTGGTGGCTGGGAAGTCGGGATCCTCGAACAAGGTGCCAGACTGCAGGCAGCCTTGCCGCAGCTGCTCAAAGCTCTGGCCCGAGGAGTGGATGGCCCTGGCATCCCTGGGGACCGGGTGCGGCTGGGGCCTCAGGGAGCGATGCAGGTAAGGCATGGCTGCTTCTCCTCGGCCCGCTAGAGTGATGTGAGAGGCAGGGCGAGAGCAGCCCTGGCCCTGGCCCACACCCGCTCGCGGGCACGTCCTTGTGAGAGAGAGAGAGGGCCCTCCCGAATGGCAAACACTGAGTGAGACCTCTGCCCATCCAGGGCTCTGGGGACCATAGGCATCTCTATAGAGTGACTAAGTCTGAGCAGAGCAAGGAGGTGGCTCTGTCTGACACCCTGGGGGGTCCCTGAACGACAGGCAGGGTGGCTTCAGAGGGACGGAGAGAGAGCAAGGAGGTGGTTGTGGGCTCTGGAGTCAGAGCAGAGGGAGGCCGAGCCTTGTGGCTGGAGGGAGCAGGGTGAGCCGCAGTGCGCCGCTGCAGGCAGAGCTTCCCCTCAGCGCTCAGCACTCTCTTCTGACAGACCTTTAGGTCCATGGGCCTCACCGTCTGCGTTCCAGCCACTCACTTGACTGGGACAGTTGCACAAGCAGCTGTGTGGACGAAAAGATGAGGTTACGTCTCTGTCAAGCCCTCCCTTCCAGGCCGGGGAACTGGCACCTGTCAGAAAGCACTCACCACACTTCCCTGAGTTTGAGCCTCCAGGATTGATGTGAAAAAGCTAGGCATAGTGGCGTCCACCTGGAATCCCAGCACTGAGAAAGCGGAGCAGGTGGATCTCTTGCTGCTAGCTCTAGGCCAACTAGAGACGCTGCCTCAAAAAAGCAAGGCAGCCGGGCATGGTGGTGCACGCCTTTAATCCCAGCACTCAGGGGGCAAAGGCAGTCAGATCTCTGTGAGTTCCAGGCCAGCCTGTTCTACAAGTGAGCTTCAGGACAGCCAAGGCTATTACACAGAGAAACCTTGTCTCCAAAAAAACAAAAACAAAAACAAACAAATAAAAAGAACAAGGTAAGAGGGCTGGAGAGATGGCTTAGCAGGTAAGAGCACTGGCTAATCTTCCAGAGGACCCTAGTTCAATCCCCCACACTGCAGCTCACAGCCACCTATAATTCCAGCTCTAGGGGACGCAATGCTCTCTCCTGGCTTCATAAGCTCCGCACACGTGGTACACATACATGCAAGCAAAACGCCCGCACACAAAGCAATGATAACAACAAAGTGTATGGCATTAAGGAAGGACACCTGAAGTTGACCTTTCACACACACACACACACACACACACACACACACACACACACACACACCCAACAGGGAGTGCTGTTGGAACTACATCTGAAATGAAGCCCTGCTCTGGGCTGCAGTCTTCCACAGCGGCAGGTGAGGCCCTGGTGACCAAGGGCCTAGTGACCAGGTGATTGGCACAGCACCCTGGCTGCTAAGAACGCAGACAGAAAGGAGCCCATCGCTCAGGAAGCTTCATCCAGAGGGAGGCCAGGCTTCCACGTCCTCCCCCCGCCTGGGGGGCTTGGTGCCTGGGGGCAGACGCCTCCCACAGAGACCCAGAAGTGTGTCTCCAGGGATGTCCAGGACCCTGACAAACTTTCCTGCTTCTCACAGCTGCCTCAGCCTGCCCAGCCCGGGAAGAGGTTTCATGGCCCAGGAGAAGCCCCTGGCGACAGGCTGCACGCCGTCCCCCTTCACAGAGCAGGAGGCTCATCATCGGGGACTGCAGCTTCATCTCTATCTCGAACAGGTATCTCAAACTCGTCTGCACCTGACAGCAGTCACCAGGGTTACGTTGCTGTCTGGAGCTGGCGAGGGTGACAGGAGACTGTGCTCCCCACGCCCCGGACTCGCTGAGCACGGATGGACGCGGAGGTATAGGGTAGCAAAGGGCACAGCGAGGGGAGATTATTACATCAGGAGAGGGTCACCTTTGCTCTTTCAAACAAAACAAGCCTTTACCGTGTGTGTGTGTGTGTGTGTGTGTGTGTGTGTGTGTGTGTGTGTGTGTGTGGTGCTCGGGTACGCACAGGACAAGTTGTGGGGCTCAGTTCTTCCTTTCTACCACGTGGATCCCAGGGCCTGAGTCAGGTTGTAAGACTTGGCTGCAAACGCTTTGTGTGCTGAGCCGTCTTAGACCGGGTGAGCCTAACAGCCACAGCCTGTGTGGACACGCCTGATGGCAGGTTCATCGCTCAGCAGGGGGAAAGCCCACCCCACCCCCTGCTCCACACGCTCCTCTCTCTCCTCTCCTTTGCTTCCAAGTCTTTGTGTGAGTGGGGGTGCTTGTGTGTGGAGGAAGTACATGTGTGTGGAGGGGCGTGTGTACACACCTGAGGTCAAGGGTGGCTGCTCAGCGAGCCCCAGAGATACGCCTGTCTCGGTTTCCCCAGTGCTGGGATTACACGCCTGCCCCTCCTCACCGAGGTCCTTAAGCTTGCCAGGCCCGAGCTGATGCTTTAACCACTGTGTGGGCCAGGCACCCCTCCCTAGCCACACCGCAGGACCACGGGCCCCCGACCATGTGGGAGGCCCCTGTGACTCATCTCTGATGGGCACAGTGGTCATCATGCTTACGCCTCACACGACTGCCCACAGTGTGACATCAAGGTGCCCCAGTGGCCAGCACTTCCTGGCAGTCCCCCCAGCAGTAGCCTTTGGGCCACTTTTTCTTCTCACAGGATTTGCTCTGTAGCCCAGCCTGGCCTTGAACATTGAGGTGGTGCTCCTGGCTTGGCCTCCCTCCACTTTGCCCCTCCCTTCCTTGTCTGTGGTGGAAAGACGCTGGTATTTGTGTTTCCAGCCCTCTTTGCTATGTTTTCCATATAAGAGCCGAGCATTAAGTAAATACTATTTCCACAGCTCGGTTTTCGCAAGAGACAGACGGCCAGACCCATAGGACAGCTCTGTACCACGCTGGGCACTCTGGTGGGAAGAAGGTGATGACATTTTTCCACAGGAGGAGCCATGCCGTATCTAAGGTCACAGCTGGGGCAGAAGCACCCTCCCTTAGAGTTTTTCTAGTGCCTGTGCCAAGGCAAACGTTCGGACCGCCAGCGTGACTGTGGGTGTGTGAGTGCGGATGAGCCAGAGTGAAGGACACACACACAAACCATACAGATAGACACACGGGCACTTCCTGTCTGCTGCAGTGGCCTCGTTCGGCTGCAGTGGAAATGGTACTTCCTGGGCTAACGGACCCACAAGGCACCCTGAGAACATTCTCAGACTCTGCTTTAAACCTGAGGCTTGGTTTACATGAAGGTGACTGCTGAGGAATTTTCATCGACAGAGTTTCTGCAATAGACCCCATTAAGCTGCCTGAGAATAGCTCAGTGGGAAGAGCACTTGCTTAGCATGCTCAGAGCCCTGAGTTCAGTCCCCAGTCGCCCATAAACCAGGCATGGTGACGCATCTCTGTAATCCCAGCACTTGGGAAACGGAGACAGGAGGATGAGGAGTTCAAGTCATTCTCAGCTACGTAGAGAATCCGAGGCCAGCCTGAACCACGTGAGATGCTGGCTTAAAAAGAAAGCCACTAACGAGATTTTATTTCTTTATCAGTTTATATATTTTAATGGTATTTTTCTAAATTAATAAATCATTCTTTACTTTTATTTCTCAAGAGCAGTTCCTGTCAGGATGTTGTCTGTGGTGAGAGCTGGGAAGTTGACACGGTACTTACCAAGTCTGCCAACAATGAGCAAAAACCCAGAACAAGCAACAGAAGCAAGAGTACAACACAGCCTGACTCCTAAGCCACTGGCAGCATCTGTCCTTGTCATACATAAGCATGTATGCATGCATAAACAACACACACAAACACACACAAGCCACACAGGCGCACAAACTGAGAAAGGCATGCAGGTATGCACAAGCCACAATTAGTGAGAACTGTGTAGTTTTGGTTTCTTTTAAAAACACAAAAATACTACGGGAATGTTTTCTTTTCAATCCCAGTTTGTGTGGGATATGGGGCTGCTTCACAGCAGCTGACTATTATTTGCCTCGTGCTTTGGCAGGGGTGTGGTTTTGCCAGCTGCGGATGGTTTCTGCGAGTGTTTGACATTTGGAATTCTGGAGACTTTTCAGAGCATATATAAATGCTAGAGTCCTGACAGGTGTGGCAGGTTGGTGGTTGGTTGTGGTTGTTTTCAATTTGTTGCAAGGAGTCATGCACAAAAAAGCAACAAGAAGAAATTAAATATCCTGACAGCGAAGACCAGACTTTCCCCAAGGAGCTGGACATCCCTCATCAGGAGGAAGTAGTTATCAACAATGACTCCCCCTTTCCCCTCTATCCTTTTCTCTCCTAGCAAGTGTTAGGGAGTTGAAAGGGAGGAAGTAAAGGGGTGGAGAAGGTGGAAGAGAGAAAGGAACCCACAAAGTAGCAAAACTACACAGATCAGACAATCTCAGAAATACATGCATGCACCAGTAATGTATACATGCTTGTGGGTAGAGACTACATACATGCACACACACAGACAAAAGCACATACATACACACACAGCTTTATTTGAAGACAAAAAAAAGCCCATTTAATTCCCTTCTAGTGCAAGTCTCTCAGCTGCTGAGCTTGGGAGGCAGGAAGCTCCCACAGTTGAGGGCAGGATGCATGTGTGTCTGTGTGCTCTGAGAGCCAGCTTCATAGTGAGACCCTGAGCTAGGAGAGCTGCAGTACCTGGCAGGCATGGCGTGGAGCAGGTGGCTGGCAGCCGAGAGGTGAGTATTGGAGAACACAAGCCAGGGGCTGATACTACCCTGGATGTAAGGCTTAGAGACATTTCTGGTTGACAAAGGTCTGGGAACACACCATGGAGGAATGGGCGAGACATTTGGAATTGAGTGGGCTCGTGCTTGTGGGGTGAGGTGAAGCCAAGTGAAACCAGCCATGGAGGGAGCCCAGCACCTCTGTTACACTCTTTCCTGGAGAGTGTAGGGCCAGGGGGCCATGGCGACTGCAGGCCCCTCAGGAACCCTCAGAGCAGGTAGAGTCTGCTCAGCAAGCCTGGCTCAGGAGCCCTGCTGTCTGGCTTGCCAGCACAGGCTGCTCCAGCTGGAGTGAAATGGGCCTGTTATCTGCATTTATTGGGATGGAGGCAAAGAAGAGGCAGTGATGGCTGGCATGACTCAGTGAGGGCTGGCTCCTGCTCAGAAAGCATCTTTAGCAAGGGCCACCACTCTCAGTACAGCTTGGCTCTGGCTTGTCCATGGCCTCCCCACGCTTGACAGTTGGCTAGACTGCTCCAGAAGCTCATGCTGCCTCTGTTGGCTGGTTTCCGGAGACACACAGAAACAGGCAGGTGATGAGTTACACGGGGCAAGAGGCAAAACGGTTGATAGTACAGGACGCCATCATGGTGGGGAACGTGTCTTCCTTTGTGACTGTGCTCTTCAGCTCAGAGTTCTGCAGACCCTGGCAGGGCACAGGGTCTATGGAGGTGCCCCTGCTCACAGGGCTGGCGACATCCTTGCCATCACCAGTCACCTCCGCCTCTGCCCTTCTCTCTTGGCAGAGAGCTGAGGCTGAAAGTTCCCTTCGCTTGCACGACCAGACTCTTCCAAAGCAATACTGAAGGGTCCAACTACTGGACATCTCATGGAGGACAGAAAGATGTTCAATGATAGGAAGAATCCAGTCCTCTGGGGTCAGGAATGGAGAGGAAAGATCTTTCCATCACTGCATTCAGGAACTCAATGCTGTGTCCCCAGCCCAGGGCTCCCTGCATAGCCCCAAAGCTCCAAAGGCTGCATTATCCACTCCTCAGGGACATCTGCCCACAGCCGGCCTTTCCTGAGTCCTTGCTCCCTGCACCCCCTCCCCCGGGTGCTGCATTCTCTCCTTTAGTCCTCAGAGTGCAGACCTTCATGGCTGCGGTCCTGATGCCCTCCTGCAGTGGCCCCCAGCTGCGACATTCTTGCAGTTACTGAAGGCCCAGTTGGAGGTCAGCCCTCCGCTCAGGCACCAGTGAGCCCCATACTGTGCCTCTGTTTTCTTCCCAGCCAGGAACTGCTCTAGTCGTCCTCCCTTTCTGCCTTCACTTCCAGTGCCTCATCTGGGTGGGGGCAGATTGTGCCAGGGCCAAGAGACTGCTTGAGGTTCTGGGCTGCTGTCACAGGCCGTCCATGGTGGACTGCACGGGGAGCCTCTGCAGGGCCTTCTGCCCTTGTGTTCTCAGCTGCTCCCCCACACTTCCACCCTCAGCCTTGTCCTCTCAGCCTCCACAACCATCCTCCACACTCTTCCAGGGCGACACCCCTGTCCACAAGGCCAGCCCATTTCATTTCACATATGGCTGCACCACTGTTGGCATTCACCAGCCCACCCAGATGAGCTAGAAGTTCCTAGAAGGTTCTACCTACTGGTGACATCACCTACCACTTGCTGGACATCTTCCTGTAGGAGGGCCCTTTCCTGGCATATCCTGAGAGGCCTACAAGTGCACCATGGGGTTTTTCATCCCAAGGCCTAGATGGCCTGCCCAGGCTGTCACAACCCGGCCAGCCCTGTGACTGTGGCCCCGGCTCCAGGGAACTGAGGTAAATGTGTAACTGGACTCAACGTCAGCCCATTTTGCATGGAGCTCATCTTTCACCAGGGCTTCCTGGAAGGGGCCCAGAGGAACATCGCCCTGGCCTTGGTCCATCTTGGCCAAGCCTGGATTCCCATGGCCCCTGACCTGGGTCCTCCCCCAGCCTCTGTACAGAGTAGCCTGGGAGTAGAGCCATCTCCACCCCTCGGGCATAAATAGGCCTGTTGGGCTCACCAGGGGATAGCTGTGCTTGTCTGCGCTGAGGCTGAAGGTAAGCGGAGCCCTCTCAGCTCTTTCTGGTCCTTCATGGGGTCCTGCTGGGCAGTAGCTGAGCTGTGGGTGGGAGGAGGGGGAGGCAAGGTTGGGCAGACACTGAAAAGGGCTGGCTGGCCCTGAATTGAGGAGCTGGAAGTCTGTGGTGGCAGGTGCTTCAGGAGACACGACCACTGACTGCTTCTCCTCTCCAGAAAGGCTAGATGTCCAGGTAGGCTGTCCTCTGTCGGTCACGGCTCTGGGCTCACGGGGAATTGCTTCTCTGCAGTCAAGCAGGACACCCAGGCCTCCAGCTTCCTGTGAGCCCAGCCGGGACTTGTGGGATCAGTGCTGGAGTGGCTAAGTCCACCGGCTACTCCAGCTCGAAGGGAGAACAAGGCTTCGTTGTCCAGGCTGCAAGCAGCAAGCAGCAAGGAGGGGCAAGTCTGGAGGTCAGCTCAAGCAGCGCCTCCAGGCTCAATGTTGGGGTCTGTGTCCTGTGGCCCCTCACCACGTCTATAGAACCTTAACCAAACCCTCTCCAGACAAGCCTCCTCACGGCTCAAAGCTTCTCTGGGGTTAGGACTGGCTTAGGAGTGCTCAGTAACATGGAGTGCTTGATGTCAGGCTAAGCAAAAAGGTGCTGCTTTATTTTTAGTGTGAGGTGTGTGTGAATGTGTGAATATTTATGTGCAGGTATATGTGGTATGTGCATGTGTGTGGATTTATGTGCCTGTGTGTGGTGTCTGTGTGTGCGTAGTGTATGTGTATATTATTATTTATTTATTTTAGTTTTTTGAGACATTGTTCCTCTGTGTAGTCCTGGCTGTCCTGGAACTCACTATGTAGACCAGGCTGGCCCGGAACTCAGAGATCCATCTGCCTCTGCCTCCTGAGTGCTGAAGTTAAAAGCGTGCACCACCAAAGCTGGGATATCATTATCATTATCATTATCATTATCATTATCATTATCATTATCATTATTATTGGAGATAGGGACCCAGTATGTATCTCTGGCTATCCTGGAAATCACAAAATTGTGTCACCATGCCAAGCCCAATGTATGCGTATATTTGTGTGAACGTGGTGTGTATGTATGTATGTGTGGGGTGTGTCTGTCTGTCTGTCTGTGCGTATGTGAGTGTGTGTGTATGTATGTAGGGCATGTGTGCCTATCTCCATGTATGTATGTGTGTTTCTATGTATGTATGTGTATATGTGAGTGTGCATACGTGTGGTGTGGGGGACCTGCCTGTCCCAGGATGACCTTGGGGAGGTGGGCTAACCTGTGAACCAAAGCAGGACCATGGCCCTGAGGTTCCTGAGGGAGGTGGCCAGTGGAGAACATGGTAAACAGGCAACTGCAGGACACAGGGTGCTTCTGGTGGCCACCGGGGTGGAGGAGGTGAGGGAGGAGGCTAGTAAGCCTGGGGCAGGTGCTGAGCGGAGAAGATGAGCTGGTGACATAAGACAGCACTGAAGATGTACCCCGTTAGTGACAGGACAGGCAACCGATCCCCGAGAAGCCACAGGACACAGAGAAGCCGCCGGCTGGGAGGGACCAGAAGGGGCCTAGAACGCCTTCGTTCTCTCCAGGACCTGATGCAACCTGATTTAGGATGAACTTGAATGGCAGCGGGTTACTGCTGAGCGCGAACAGCCAGTTCTGCCTGAGGACAGTGGTGACGTGTTTCCTGGGACAGTGCCCATCCACAGGCACAGCAATGTGGGAAGGCAGGCAGCATCCACCCACATGGCCCACCCTCCCACGTGGGCACCTAAGGAGGCCCCGACCCTCCTGTGCCTGGGTTTATAATAGCAGAGTGGGCAGGCTCAATCCCTGCTCTGCACAGAAAGGTCCAGCGGGCACAGGCAGAATTTCCTACTCTGCTTTTCAAAACTTCGAGACTTTCTTTGAGAGGGGTGGGTGGAGCCGGGTGTGGGTGCAGGGAGGGTGAGGTCTGGGAGTCAGAAGCCAAAGGTCATCTGACCAGGGGGATGACCAGACCAGGGCAAAGAGCACCCTGCCTGCCTGTGGAAGAGACTGCATGTGCAGCCCCAGGAGGTGCCACGACCTAGGTGTGGGAGGCTGGCATGACCTCTTAGTTTTGCAAAACCAAGGGGCATTCTGAGATCATTAACTTAGAAAAAGAAAAGTTTGTTTTGGCTCCTAGTGCTGGAGTTACAGGCCAGACTCAGGCCTGTCTCTCTGGACCTGCTGGGGTGTCAGGTAGCAATGGGCAGAGGCATTTGGCCAAATAAGCTGCTCCCCATGGAGGTAGAAAGCAGAACCAACAAAGACGGGAAGTCAGAGGCCCTGCAATGCACCCCAGTGACCTAGTCCTCCCCCTGGGCCCTGCCCCCTCAACACTACCCTCACCAGAACAATCCTGTGCGTTAAGATTTTCACATCAGCATGGTTTGTTGAGCGCCATGGAAGATGGAAGGCAGAAGGTTTGCGTGTGTGAGGGTGAAGCAAGGGAAACAAAGGCTCAAGGTGACCTCCAGTCAGGCCCGAGGCACCGAGGCCCAGCAGTGGTGGCCATGAGTAATGATGGCCATGGTGAGGTAAGCCACTTGGCAGATGGTGCCTTCTATAAAAGCAAGTGCAGGTGGTCCATGTGGTCAGAACTGAATGGCAGACTCCGCCTCTCCCCACCAGGATCAGAGGAGGTTTGGCAGAGTCAGCACAGGAACCTTCCTTGGAGACCCCCAGGCTAACTCCATGTACTCTCTGTGATAGCTGAGGCTGGACCAGGGCTTAGGGCCAAGGAAGAAGAGTGCCCAGCTCCATGGGCCACTCCATCTCCTAGTTCACGGCTGAGCAGGGCCCCAAGCCCTGAGTGGCCCTCACTGGCCCTCACAGCCATTGGGGCAGTTGACAAATCAATCCCACAGACTGCCGAAGCCAATCCTGGGTGAGCAGGCTGGGTGGGCAGGCCAGCCACTGTGTAGAGGCAGGCCTGCCTGGAGCAGGACGGCTATGGAGGACCCAGGCTTGGGCGAGGCATTTGGCACCCAGTTCTGGCCGCAGGCTAAGGCCTCGAGCTCACCAAAATCAATCCTAGGGCACACCCATGTGGGTGTAAAGGCTCCTCCAAATCACTAAGTTCACACTTACTCCAGGGACGAACTCATAGCCATTGTTACCCGCATGCCTGGCTCTCCCAGGCCTGTGCCACAGCCTCATATGATAACAAGGGGACCTCCAGAAACCCAAGGTCAAGGTGTGGTCAGGGTTGAGTCCTCCTGGGTCCTCCCTGCCTTTGGTTTGCAGATTCCACCCTCTTCCTGTGTCTCCTATGGTTGTCTGTGTTTCTGTCTCCTGATATCTTCATGTGTACATGCATGCGAGAGTGTGTGTATGTGTGTGTGTGTGTGTGTGTGTGTGTGTGTACATGTGCAAGCGTGCTCACGTGTATAGAGGCTGGGTGAAAACCTTTGGTATTATCTCGAACTGGTGTCCATCTCCTCTGAGACAGTCTGTCACTGGCTTAGATCTCACCTATGTGGCTGGATTGATTAGCCAGGTCCACCAAACTCCAGGAATCTACCCGTCCCCACAGCCTGAGCACAGAGATGAGCATGCGTGGGCCACCACAGCTGGTGTCTTTACATGGTTCTGGAGCGCCTGCTCAGGGCCTCACGCTCCCAATAGAAGTACCAACTGACTTGTAACCCTGTCCCCAGCTGGCCTCTGTGTAAGAACACCAGCAGTTTGCATGAGGCCCGCTGGGAGGGCCTCGTTTCACCTCAGTCTCCGAAAACAGTGACCTTTTGCCAAGTGTGGAGAGGCCTGCAATCCCAGCTACTTAGGGCGCTGATGTGGGAGGGCCTCACACTCCAGGCTGCCTAGAATACAGAGCGATTTCAAGGTTAGCCAGGATGACTTCTGGAGACATTGTCTTAGAGTCGTAGCTCGTTCAGAACGTTTGCCTGCATGTGTGACAGCCTGGGCTGAACCCTAGCCCACTTATAAGCTAGCAGGGGTAGGGTATACTTGCAACACAAGCACCCAGGAGACAGAGGCAGGAGGATCAGGACTTCAAAATCAGCCTAATCTACACTCCGTGAGCACAACCAGCCGGGACCATATGAAACCCTAGTTTTAAGTAAAACAGTGCCTGGGGAGGGAATGCGCCTACCTAGCACACTAGAGGCCCTGGATTCCACCCCCAAGCAGTCCCTTTCCAGGGCCCTGGAGGTGGGAATGTTAACACGTAAACCTGGGGAGCAATTCCTCGTGGGTCAGCCTGAGTTTCCCAGGGAGCTCTGACTACATTCCTTCTCAGCTACCCCAGCTGTGGCTGGATTCTTCTGGGCCGTCTGTGACAGCCATGCTTTTGGTTTCCAGTGATTTACTAAGCATATAGCAAACAAAAGCAAAAACAAATAGCAAGCGATGGGTGGAAGCAAAAGACAGATGGTAAAACATCACCAGAGCAGGCTCTCAGAGCACGGAGCAGAGACAACTGGGCAAACACTCTTGGGCCTGGAACAAGGATGAGGAGTCAGCCCTCCTTCCAAAGCTCAGTGAGCAGAGACAGCACATGGCAGTTTACCCATAGAATAAACATGGCACACAGCCCCTGGATATCAGGACAACTGAAGGTCTGGCTTCCAGGCTCCAGATAACCACTGTCACCCTCACACAATGTCATTGCAGGGCACAGAGGCGAGCGCTCAGGTCGATGATGACTCCCACAGGGATAGGCCCAAAGGCCACCGTCTTCTGCATCCTGACCTGGGTCAGCCTGACGGCTGCGGACCGCGTGTACATCCACCCCTTCCATCTCCTCTACTACAGCAAGAGCAGCTGTGCCCAGCTGGAGAACCCTAGCGCAGAGACACCCCCAGAGCCGACCTTCTCGCCTGTTCCTATTCAGGCCAAGACCTCCCCTGTGGATGAGAGGACCCTTCTTGAGCAGCTTGTGCTGGCCACTGAGAGGCTGGATGACGAGGATCGGCAGCGGGCTACCCAGGTCGCGATGATAGCCAACTTCATGGGCTTCCGCATGTACAAGCTGCTGAGCGAGGCCGGGGGCGTGGCCAGCGGGGCCGTCCTCTCCCCGCCAGCTCTCTTTGGCACCCTGGTCTCTTTCTACCTCGGATCCTTGGATCCCACGGCCAGCCAGCTGCAGGCGCTGCTGGGAGTTCCCGTGAAAGCAGGAGAATGCACCTCCCGGATGGATGGGCACAAGGTCCTTGCTGCTCTGCGGGCCATTCAGGGCCTGCTGGTCACCCAGGGCGGGAGCAGCAGCCAGGCACAGCTGCTTCAGACCACGGTGGTGGGGCTCTTCACGGCGCCGGGCCTGCGCCTGAAGCAGCCTTTCGTTCAGAGCCTGGCTCCCTTTGCCCCTGCCATCCTCCCACGCTCTCTGGACTTGTCCACTGACCCTGGTCTTGCTGCTGAGAAAATCAGGAGGTTCATGCAGGCTGTGACAGGGTGGAAGATGAACTTGGCGCTGGACAGGGTCAGCACAGACAGCACCCTACTTTTCAACACCTACGTTCACTTCCAAGGTGAGGCAAACCCGTGGGTCAGCACGGGCCCTGGTTTGAACCACGGATGGCATCTGGGCTCCCAAGGCATGCCCATGGTCCACGTGTGAGGTGGGCAGGATGACAGGCCTCTGCCTCTGGATAACCAGTGAAGCCCTGGAGGCTGAGAAAGCAAACCTGGCTCACAAGGGCACAGCCTTGCCCTCCTACCCCACAGCCCTTCGGTGCTGGGTCATGCTCCTGTGTCTTGAGATGGCTGGCACTAGGACAGACGGCCCAGGTCAGGGTAGGGGTGAGGGTGGAGGGGCAGGCTGGGTTCAGGCAGTACACACACTGTGAAGATGCTCTTACTGCAGTGGCCAGAGCAGGACACTTATTTTCCTAGGAGGTTGGCCCTGTGGCCTGGGAGGGCACAGCAGGTTGGGAGAGCCACCCTGAGGTGTGCAGTGTACAGGTACACTGCCCTGGGAACACACACCAGGGCACCAGATCTCCAAACTGATGGCAACTGGAGGGGGGGCACGGTGGTGGCCAGCAGGAGGACAGGCCTGCATGCCAGTCAGCGGTGACTTGGTCACTGTGACAACGTCTTTGCAGTCTATGAATTCAGATGGGAAAGACCTCGGCCTGCCTTTGAGGCTGGGAAAGGGGCAGCCCTGAGGCTGGCGAAGGGATGCTACACCCTGGGTAGGTTGGAAAGGAACCTGGAACTGAGCTGCCACCTTCCCTGAGGAGCATGGGAACACTGTCATTGAGAAAGGACGAAAGTGTCAGTCATGGTTTGCCTTGGAGGAACAGCTGTTTTCACAACTCAGACTGCAGAGCCAAGGAGGGCACAGAGATAAAGGGAAGATAAAGGGAAGGAGGAGAGAAGGAAAAGGAAGAGTGGTGGGAGGAGGAAAGGGGAGGAGAAGAAGAAAGAGGAGGAAGAAGAGAAGAGAGGAAGGGAAGAGTGAAAGGGAGAAGGAGGAAATGGGAGGAGAAAGAGAAGGCAGAAGAAGAGGAGGAGAAAGAGGAAGAGGAGGAGAGGGAGAGGGAGAAAGGAAGGGAAAGAAGAAGAAAATGAATCGGTGCCAGCACTCACCTGTACTCTGTCCTGACCTTCCCTGCGCATCTGCCCAAGGCTGACCCTATTCCTCATGCTCGTGAGTTTGCAGACTCTCAGAAACTCCAGGTCCCCTCTGCAGTGGCCTTGGGACAGTTGGGTGTTTGTATCTAGGGAGGTCTTGAGGCCTTAGGCTCATGGTCTCCAGGGCTCTTTGCCCAGTACTTGATATCCCCGGCGCTTGAATGGCCCTGCAGGTTCCATGACACCAGGGAACATGACCAGGGGAAGTTTACTCAGCCCAGAGTAGGGCTCCATGACTGGGGTCCAGGGAGCATGGGGAAGAATGGGGAAAGGACAGCCTCAGGTGCCAGCATCTCTCTAGAGCCATGTCCTGTTTCCCTTTTATCTTTCTGCTCAAGATAAAACTTCAGTGCTTTTTCCTCTAAACTGTTATGCCCTGCTGAGGTCCCTGGGGTGAGGTATCAGCTGCTCATGCATGTGAGCTACACATATGTGATAGGGTCTTGCTCCGTAGCACGGCTTTGAACTCTCAGCATTCTAAGTGCTGGGATTCCGGGTGTGAGCCACTCTCAGGGCCTTTTGGGACCAGCGCTCTTGTCGCTCTCCATAGAGGGCTCTGAGTTCAAGACCATACTTTTACACAACCTGGGCCCAGGTGGAGCTAAACCATGCTCAACCCCTTCCGGAGCGACACTTGGGGAGCCGTGCCATCATACAGCCGGGCACGTGTGAGGAAGGCAGGTATAAGGAGAATCCAAAAGTGCCTGAGTGTGCCTGGCTCAGCCCATGGCGTCCAGGTGGGGTGGCTCAGCTTGCAATGTGTCCCTTCCTCATCCTTCCCCAGTTCACTCCTGACCTCAGCCGTGGGGGGGAGGTGGGGGCGGTGTGAAAAGAGACTCCCCCCCCCCCCCGCCCCAAGGCTCTGCGGTCATCACAGGGTCTTGGACCTGTCTTTGTGGCGACAGATGCTGAACAGTTTAGTCTTGGTCCAGGAGCCTGGGCAGCGGCATCAGCGTATTCCGAGAGGTGGGGGCCAAGGTCTCCTAGCAGGCGGTCATGCTGCTCTGGAGGGGCCACAGGGGTGGGACTCGTCACTCTGGTTTGTGCAGCCCTGCTGAGTATCCAACAAGAGCAGGGGCCATGAGAACCAGGGGCCCTGGGTGTCCTGCAGGCTCACGGGTGGCTGCAAAGGACTCCAAGGTGAGACGCTGAGAGAGTGTCTCTGGAAGCTGCACTTCCTCTCAGTTTCGCTGGAAGCTGACACTGCTCTAAAATACCTTTTTTTTTTTTTTTTTTTTTTTTTTTTGTATGTGTGTGGTGTATGTATATGCATAAGGATGAAGTTGGGTGTCTTCAGTTGTTTTTCGCCGTTTTTTTTTTTTGTTTGTTTGTTTTGTTTTGTTTTTTGTTTTTTTGAGACAGGGTTTCTTACCAACTTGGGGCTTTCCATTTCTGATAGACCCCAGTGAGCCCCAGGGGTCCCTACATCTCCCATCCCCAGTGTTGGTCTCCTGGACTGTACGGCCATGCTAGACTGTTACAAGGGCTTGGGCATGTAGGCAGAGCTCATCATGTTTATAGAGCAAGTACTTTATCCACGGAGCCATCCCCCCAGACCACAAAGTCGAAGCTTTTTTAAGAAGTGAGTTTGCAAAGCAGAACTGATATGGGTTAAGCTTCCTGAGTCGGGCAGGAGTGGACTGAGTCCCCGCAGGTGACAGATGTGAGACCTCTGTCTCCACAGTGGCACAGCATCTTCTGCTGTTAGGGTCTCTGCGGGAAGCTCAGGTGGCTGGAATTTGCAAAAGGGTGTCAGAGGGCACCTGAAGGTGAACTTTGCAGGCCTGCACAGCTGGTGACAGAAGAGGAAGCTGAGCCAGGAGCCAGGGTGGAAGGGCCCCTCCCAGCTTCCCCATTGGCCCTCCTGAGCCCTCCTCCTGTCTCTGCTGCCTCCAGGGAAGATGAAGGGCTTCTCCCAGCTGGCCGGACTCCACGAGTTCTGGGTGGACAACAGCACCTCTGTGTCTGTCCCCATGCTCTCGGGCACCGGCAACTTCCAGCACTGGAGTGACTCACAGAACAACTTCTCCATGACTCGCGTGCCCCTGGGGGAGAGCGCCGCCCTGTTGCTGATCCAGCCGCACTGCACCTCAGATCTAGACAGGGTAGAAGCCCTGGTCTTCCAGCATGACTTCCTGACTCGGATAAAGAACCCGCCTCCTCGGTAGGAAGTGTGTGGGGCCCTGGGAGGCAGAGCTGCATGAATGGCACCCACCGCACGCTTACGTCAGGGTACCCGGGGCTGTCCACAGAAACAGCTGTCCTGTTGCCACCCCTATCCCATCCCACCATTGTGAGCAGCGAGCCTGTGGCTCCAGCCTGCCGTCCGTGACCACCGCCCTCCACAGGGGGCTGATGAACCAGCCGGGGCTGTATAGCTGCTTGAAGCACCATGACCAAAAAGCAAGTTGTGGGTGGGGAGGGTTTATTCGGCTTACACTTCCAGATCATAGTCCATCACTGAAGGAAGTCAGGACAGGAGCTCAAGCAGGGCGGGAACCTGGAGGCAGGAGCTGATGCAGAGGCCACGGAGGGTGCTGCTCACTAGCTTGCTCCTCATGGGTTGTTCAGCTGCTTTCTTATAGAGCCCAGGACCGCCAGCTCTGGTGGCACCACCTACAGTGAGCTGGGCCCTCCCCATCAATCACTAAGAAAATGACATACAGGCTTGCCTACAGCCTGATCTTAGAGAGGTGTTTTCTTAGTTAAGATTTCCTCCTCTCAGATGCCTCGTTTGTGTCAAGTTGACATAAAACTATTGAGCTCAGGGTCCATTATCTTATCTGTATTTTGGTTTTCAGAGAGGGTCTAGAATTTGTGGTAAATCTCCACCTCAGCTTCTCAAGTGTAAGCACAGGAATGAGGCAGACTGTCTGGCTAATAGCCTGTTGCTTGCACACATTTTTGGAAGGTTCTCCTTATACAGCCTGAGAACAAAGGGCGGCCAGCTCTCCACAGTAGATGGTCTTCCCCCTGCCTCAGGAGGTTTTTGTTGTGTTTGTTTCTGAGAATTTCCTTGGGGTGAGAATGTCCTCTACTGTGTGACCCTTCCTGGGGAAACACAAGCAAACACTATTCACCTCAGGTAGGGCACCAATTTCAGGTCAAAGAAAGAATCCCTTGCAAGTGGAATTTGGTCCTGCAGTGCATTCATTGTGGTTATCTTCCTGAGTGTGTGAGCACAACCAAGGGGCCCAGCCCAGCATGGGTGACCACCCCAAAAGCTGCACCACTGGGGCTGCCTGTGCCCAGCGCTGCGGAGGAGCTGCGAGCCTGCAGCTTCCAGAGCATCTTTCTCCAGCTTTCTGAGTCTTCCGGCCCTCCTTCCAGGAGGGTGTGTTTGAGCTCAGGACAAAGCTCCCCAACACTGGCTGATGGAGCGCTTAGCCTCCCTCCTTGGGGGAGAGGGAGTGAGAACTCCCCCAGGCCCCTAAGACAGGCTCTCCACAGGGCCATCCGCCTGACCCTGCCCCAGCTGGAAATCCGGGGATCCTACAACCTGCAGGACCTGCTGGCCCAGGCCAAGCTGCCCACCCTTTTGGGGGCTGAGGCAAATCTGGGCAAGATTGGTGACAGCAACCCCAGAGTGGGAGAGGTGAGCACTGCCCTGGTTGTGTCCCAGGGGACGGAGGGCGGGTGGTCATGTGGGGAAAGCTGTGTGCGAGGCCGGCAGGCATTGCCGGTGCCCTTGCTTCCCAGGGACGTGGAAGGGCAGTCCCCTTTCAGCTCTCTTGCTAATCCTTGCTCCAGGCCCACCTCTATCCGTTTGCCTCACATCTTCCAAGAAGCTGTAGCAGGTTAGAGTGTGGGATGCCCCAATGTAGCTTCTTTGGGGAACAGCTCAGTGGTAGAGAACTATGTGAACTGAGGATTTCCTGGGTACTATTGGCATTGCCAAGGTAAACAAGGGGGACTCACTGTGAAAGACATGGCCCGGCTGTGCCACTTGGCCAAATAATGGAGGGCTACATCCAGATGGCGGGTGGAGATGGGGACGCGGGGCATGCTGGACAGGAGCCGCTTTGGGAGCTGGGTGCTGTGCTCAATGCCCACCCAGAGGACAAGTGTGTGCACACCTGGCAGGCTGGGCAGCGTCCTCCCTCAGGGCAGCTGAGCACAGCCCCTGGCCTGCCAGCCCTCCTGATGTGTCTCTGCTGTGCAGGTTCTCAACAGCGTCTTCCTTGAGCTCAAAGCAGGAGAGGAAGAGCAGCCAACAGTGCCCGCCCAGCAGCCTGGCTCACCTGAGGCGCTGGATGTAGCCCTGAGCAGCCCGTTCCTGTTCGCCATCCACGATCGGCACTCGGGCGCCCTCCACTTCCTGGGTAGAGTGGACAGCCCTCAGAGTGTGTGAGGCCCGATGCCAGAGGGGCCCTTGGGTGCAGCCGAGGCAAGGCCAGCGTCAGAGGGCCATCCTGGACAAGAACCAGTGCTGTCACCCCTCCATCGAGGCCGAGGCTGTCTCCTTGGAGACTGCACCGATAATAAACAGTGAGCACCAGAGCTGGCCTCCTGGGCTGTGGGTTTGTTTAGAAGCTGGGGTGAGAGCCAGCAGCTGGCACGCCGCACAGGACTGCCACTGTGCGAAGAATCTGGATCAAACAACTGTTTGTGAAACCAAAAAGCCTCCCCTTTTACTCAAGAACAGAAATTGGGTTTTCACATTAAAATACACATTGTCCCCTCACTTTGGGTTTGTACTTAGCTCACTGAGTGTGGGACCATGACCTTCACAGGCCCCTACACTTCCTTAGTTTTCTCACCCATGGCACCATGTTTTCCCATTTTGGAAAACTGAGTTTATGCTATTGCAACAGCGCTTTCCTCACTTTGCCAAGAACAGACTCTCAGTGCTGAGCTAAACACGGTATCAGCCACAGAGCAGGCGTGCTCAGTGTGGCTGCGCTAGTGCGGCTGCGCAGTGTTCCCAAAGCTCCTGACAGTGTGTAAAGGAAGTCTGTCCCCAAGCGGCAGAGAGAGGACCTGGGCAGAGGGTACCTCCTTTACACGGGAGGCGCCGGGTCGCTCCTCACTTCTCTACCTGTCCCCGTGAGATCAGACCCCCGGCTATGCTGAGGAAGGAGCCAGGCGGGCTGCGGCAGTGGAAGCAGTGAACGATGTAGCATGTCAGCCGCAGGAAAGGGGCAGAGAGCGGCAGTGCAGCCCACAGGGCACAGACGGCGGGAATCCTGCGTTAGCAGACTGGCCTCTGGCAGAGCTAGCTGCTCCTGAGCCAGGAGTCCTGCAAGGGCAGGTGGACTGTGGAATGTGCTCCTGTGACCGAGGTGCATCCTGACAGAGCTACTGTGTCCCGAGGCTCAGCTTTTCTCAGCCTAGTCCTGTCCTCCACCCCTTCCCCGCCCCGAAAGCTCCTCTCTGGCTTCCAATACCTTGATGGCCCTTTATCCTGTGGTGTGGCCGAGCTAACTACCCACCCCCTGCATGTGCCAGGCAACACGGTGAGGGACCTATGAGCATGCTTAACTAGAAGCCAGCTCCTCACTGCCCCTGGCCTAAGCACAAACAGGAACTGCTAAGGTGTAAATTTCCTCTCATCCTAAAAGGCCCTATTCCCAGAGGGAGGTGGAGTGAGTTTCTCATCGCTGTCACAAAATACCAGGCACAGGGAGCTTAAGGGTCTATTTTGCCTCGTGTCCGAGGCAAACACACATGCACGCAGAGGCTGGTGCTCGGCTCCTTTTCTTCGCCCATGGGCTGCTGCTGCTGCCCGCTTTCACTGTGGGTATTCCCGGATCACCTACCCCAAGCTGGGGACCCTCTCACAGGTGTGCCCTGTTTGTTACTTGGACAGTTCCAAACCCCACCAGGCTGCCAAGATGGAACATCACAGGAAGAGAGACAAGAAAGGTGAACTCGTGTCCAGGCCAACACTGGTCCCTTACGGAGCAAGAATCTGCACTCTGTGGGTTCCTTGAAGGGCTCCTCCCCCATAGCGGCCCAGGCTCTTCAGGTTCAGTTGTTCCCCACTCCCTGCCACAGGAGCGATCATGGGGCCGGCATAAGGCTCAGAGGTGCCAGGGCCCGCTCAGGCTGCCTGAGGTTCAGGCTCAGGTCCCAGCATGCTGCTTCCTCTCCTCCACAGCCCACCACGCCGGGACCCTGGGCTGGCACAGCAGGTGACACTCCACAGCTACATCCTCTAACTGATCTTGTGTCAGTGCCCTGGTGGGAGCGCTGCCCTGTGACTGACAGGCTGCAAGCTGAACTGGAGGGCAGCAGAAGTCCTGCTGGCCACACAGCCCTGCAGCCCCCAGGATGCGCAGCTCTTCCAGCTTAGGCAGCTCACTCCAGCTCCACCCTCAGTGCTCCAGGGGTGGGAGCACGGTATAAAGCACAGGGTCCTCCCGACAGAGCACAGCCTGAGCCGAAGGTGGTAGTGAGGAGCCACAGGCCTCAGAGGGAGGTAGCAACACACTGATTCTGAGCTTCTGCCTGCAGAACAGAATCGTTTCTTCACCCTCAGCCACCATATTTGTGACCACTGATAGCAGCTTGAGGAACGAATGAATGTGTGCCCTTGGTTGTTCAGGAAGGAGATGGTGCGCTGCAGGTCCCTGAATGACAGGGACCTTCTCTTCACAGGTCTCTTCCATACCAGAAAGCAGCAACTACAATGGAGTCTGATTTTTAGTGTATGTGTTGAAGCTGGAAAAACATACCACTAAAACTTTAAACTTAACTGAATAAAACTGAATCAGGAGGGAAACTAAGGGAAAGTAACAAGGGAGCTGTTTGGAGAGCCAGACACAAGTCTGAAACTGTTAGTTTCTGCCTGAACATCCTGCTCTCGAGCACAGAAACATGACAGGAAGGCCGGAATGCAATGGTCCAGAGTCAGAGCCAACAGGGTAAGACATCAGGCCTCAGGCTCTCTGGGCGGAGGCCGGTGCGTACGTGTGACTACACGGGCTGGCAATTTGGGTTCAGAGCTATTCTGCCTGCCTTAATCCCACCTGTCAGTCCTATGTGTAGACCGTGAACAGCAAAGTGGAGCTGAGGACTGTGCTCTCTCCTTTCTGGGATCACATGACACAGCCATCACAGACAAGGACAGGCAGGCCTCCCTGGCCTGAAAGGCATTGACCTCTAGTAACTATAGACAGGAACTAAGCACAGTTCCTTGGCAGAGGCCCATTCCATGCTCTTGCAGCAGCCTGCCAGGCAGATGGGGCTGACTGGCCTCTCTGTGGGACAGTTACTTGTGCTAGACATTAGAGCTAGTGGGGGAGCTACACAGACAGGAGCCTTTCATCTGTGCCAAGGGACTGTGAGCCTCTGAAGTCATGCGTGAAGAGGGACGCCTGGACTAGATTCATAACTTACACATTTGCAGTAGATACTTCCTTTATTTAGGAAAGGAATCTTGACTGCCATCTCTGGCTCCTGACAGAGGTGTGGACGGCAGGGTCAGAAGTGCTGTTCTTATGCGCGTGGGCCTGACAGTGTCTCCAGGGTTGGAGACAGTTTCTGCACTGTTTGTGCACGCTGCCCAGCGCTTCCGCTGGCAGGGCCAGGACAGCCGGACAGCCACCCTTGTGTTTTTACTTTAACCCTCTCGTAGAAATCGGCTTGTCTACACTAAGATTTACAATAAAATGAGACAACTTGCTTTGTAAACTATAGTAAAAAGCTTCAAGTGTCATAAAATCTATCTTCCATACAATGGAAAGGCTTTGGCTCTTCCTGGGTGAAAGATGGCCACACACACTGGGCAAGGTACAGGCTGTTGCTGGCGACTCAGGACAAGTGTACCCTCTCCAGGTCCTGCCAGGGTGCCTAGGGCTGCTCTGCAGTCGCCTGGTCCCTGGCAGCAAGGACGAGCTCTGCCAGGGCCGGGAAGCTCTTGATGTCACTGGTCTGCAAGCCCATCTTTTGAATCTGCAAAGGCCATGAGAACAATCGTCACTGTGATGAGGTCTGAGTGGGCAAAGACGCCGTCATCACAACCAGGACAAACCGCCCCGCCCCAGAGCAGAGCTCCCAAAGGAAGGAGGAAACATTCCTGCTCGAGCGCAGGACTGGCTTATTGCAGAACTGTGGTTGGGGTCACAGGCTTCCCATTCTAAGAAGCTGGCCTCTGAATGCCCAGCCCACCACACAAGACTCTGGCCAGGAAGGAGGCTCTTCTGTGGGCTCAGAGAATGCTTGGGGAGAAATCCCATCTGCAGACTTATTCTTTAGTTGTGGAGCTTTCCACAGGCACCCGCTGAGTTCCCCTTTCCCTTCTCAGAGAGTGCTGATACTCTCTGAAGCACGCTCTGTGGCTACCCCACCAAGCAGCAGCAGGGACAGTGTATCAGCGCTTACTGTTTGCTTGGGGAGACTTCAGATTTCTCATGAAATAAACATGGCAGCTGATGTTTGCAGGCTGTCTGTCTTACTCTTTTGTGAGACAGGATCTTACATTCCAACTTGTGGCAATCCTCCTGCCTAGACATTCTGAATGCTTACGTATAGACCCAGCCTATCAAGAAAGGCAGTGCCCTACATCTGGAGATTTGGGGGTACTGAGGATGTCACTGCAGCCCCTCATCAGGCATCAGCTGCCATCAGGTATTCACCATGGCTTGAAAAACAGTGTTTTATAGGCCCGGCAGGAGGCTGCAGGCCCTCGGGACAGTGGGCAGCAAGGGCAGGTGTGCCTGAGCCAGTGCTGAAGCAGCAGGATGCCCCGCTGTTGGGTGGGTGCCCTGTAACCCTCGACCCTGTCTATCGCCCACTTCCTGACACGAACCCTTTCACAGCAGGGTGGGCCTGACTCTTCTGTCATTAACCTAGCGGGGTGAACACACAGCCCTGAGTACAACCAGGCCCTTGTAGCCAGGCTCAGGCCGCTGGTACCTGCTCTCCCAAGTACTCCACATCCAGGGCCAGCTGTAGTCGGATCTTGTCGTCATCACTCATGCCACCGCTGGAGCTGACAGGGTTGTTGGCAGGGGATCTCCTGGCTTGTTTGAGGCGCTTCAGGCTTTCCTCCATCTTCTTCACTGAGTTCAGCACATCTGACACAGTTTCAAAGTACCTTGGGCATGAGAGGTAATGCAGGGTTGGTGACTAGAGAAACAGTGGTGACACCAGGTAGGAATTTGCTTTGTACGCAAGAGCGTCTTAAGATGGCAACAGCGACACCACAACAGCCTGACTGGGAAATGTGCTGCCATGTTTCCTAAGTCTCCAAGGGCGATGCTCCCGAAAGCTCAAGGAACAGGGGTACAGGGTTTGTTGGTCCTGGGGTGTGGGGACGGCACAACAGGCAAACAGTTTGCCGTGCAAGCATGAGGACCTGGGCTCAGACCCCCAGTTCCAGTGATATGTGTCTGTAATTCTAGCGCTGGAATGCAGAGACAGGAGGGTCACTGGGGTTTTCCTGGCCAGCCAGCACAGCCGAATTGGTGAGCTGCAGGCTCAGCGAGACCCTGCCTCAACAAGGTGGAGACACTGACAGGGCTTTGGCCTCCCTGTATCCATACAAGTAAAACCCCCAGTCCTAAACCAAACAACGAAGGGCCAGAGTCCTTTCCAGGTGCAGGGCTTCCACAGCACGCCCACAGCAGCTGAGCACTCTGTCTCCTAAAATACAAACATCTCACTTAACCCAAACTCTCACCGTAACATTACAGTCACTTCCTCACCTAGGTGACAGGCTGGGTGGTTGGCACTTGGAACTTATCTGTTCACAAAACCACAGGAGTAGGCCTGACCCACAAGTGGGGGTAAGGGACAGAACTCAAACGAAAAAAACTCTACTGCAAAACAGTGATTAACCATTAAGTCAACAGTAAAACAAAATACGCCTCCTCCCTCTTTTGTGAAGCCAGGGATAGAACCCAGGACGGCAAGAATGCCAGGCAAACACTCCACCAAAGAGTCAAGAAGTGGCCATGAGTCAGCTAGGAAAAGTAGATTAGCTGCTCTGCCTGGGGCCTCCTGGTGATTGCGCTGTAACGTGTGCTTCCTTTTCTCCCTGCAGAAGCCCTCCCAGCATCTAGGGGGACTAGCTGGAGCGACAGCAAGGAGAGGAAGGACTGGGTAGGGCCAAGCAGGGAGGCAGTAAAGGTGCCCTTGGGGTTCAGGGCTGGCGCTCACAGGACCGTGGTCAGCCTGACAGTGAAGCAGGTGGAGGAAGGGTAGGTGAGGGAGGGATGGGGCTGAGGGCCCCCAGCTTGCCCACTGTGATCTCTACCACGCCGTCCCCAGGTGGAGACAGGCAGCTCTCCAGAAGTCACAGCTCACCTGTGTGTGCTCTCAGACAGAGCTTCCTGCAGCCAGCACTGCATCATAGCTGGCTTCACCTTGTCCCCATGACCCTGCTGAAGCTGGTAAAATGGCTTCAGTGCACTGTCCACATAAGAAGAGGCCGTGCTGGGGACCTCCTAGAAAGCCATTGTTAAAAGGGATTAAGGACACAGGAAACAAAAACTGAGTCATCATACCATCAACGTTCAGCAAACAGTTCTACCCTCCCAGAAAGCAAGCAGAGGGCCAGAGAGTACCTGGGGCAGCAGTGTACCACAAACAAGACCCTCCCTCTGCTCCAAGTCAGGCTTGAGGCTGAGGCAGGATGCAAAGGGCTGAGTCCTGACTCCTCCCACTAGGAGACGCTCAAGGCACACGGTTCCTTGCTTTTTAGGTGAAGACTGGCCCAGTGCTCAGCAGGGGCTGATGTACTGTGCATTCTCTCTCTCTTACACACACACATACACACCCCTCTACGATGCCCACAGAACAAAAAGAAAAGGAAGTCACCTGGCAATGTGCACAAGCCCCTCCCACCCAAGTGTGGGCTTCGGGTCCAACAACAAATAGCACAGCAGGAAACCTTGACACAAGGGGTAATTCCCCTGCACCTAACATTGAAATCTGCCCTGTTTGTCTACTTGAGTCAGTCTGACTTTGTAGCTCCAGATGATGACAACCATGATCCTGCTCTCAGCCTGCTAAGTGCCAGGATTACAGGTGTGACTACCACACAGGGCTTTGCCAGTCAAACTTTAACATGAGAAGGGGCAGCCGAAAATGGGGGCTCACACCTGTAATCCCAGCACTTAGGAGAGGCTGAGGCACAAGACTGCAATGAGTCAGAGGGTAGCCTCAGCAACATAATGGATTCCAAGCTAGCCTGAACTACAGAGTAAAGGTACTGCTTTCAAAAGGTGATGGTGATGATGACAATAGCTATAATGATAACGATGAAAACTATAAACAAGAGGAAAGAATCCAGTCAAACTGTGGTCAATGCAAGCTCAGCAACAAGGAATCACTTCCTGTTCCCCAAGTTCTTGCAAACAATGGGAAGAGTAATGCTAAGAGGAGATGGAAGGCCACAGATCATTTGTATAGTTCCTGAGCATTTGGAACAGTGAGTAAACTGAGATGCGCTAAAGTAAGTCTAAAACTTAACCATGACTGTGAAAGACAACCAGAGGGAGACCCAACCGTGCCAGAGCAAGAACAGGAAGAGATGCACGCAGACAAGCTTCCACTACCAAGAGAGAGACAGTCTCCCTGGCACCAGCCAGCACGTGCTCGTGGCTGCTCGCCCTTGCCCGCTGAGCTGCCCCACTGGCTGGCAACAGATTCTTATACCATTCTTTCTACTGTCTAACTAAAAGAACACAGAAAAGCAGGCATCTCCAATAACAGCGTGCAGAGTGAGATCAATGAAAAGTAGAGGGCGACATGACGACAAGGCAGCGAGTAAATGAGCATTTTGAATTGCTTTCTTTTCTCGGGAAAGCACTTTCCCAGCCAGGCCTGACACTGCACACCATTTGGGCCAGCACTCCAGAGCAGAGGCGGCACCTGTGGCCACCCTGGTTTATACAGTCAGTTCCAGGCCAGTCAGGACTCACACACACATACAGAAAGTACTTTTTCTTAAAATCCAAAGCCCATGGGCCGAACTGCACACTGTGCTGGCAGCCGGCTCCCTAACCTCAGCACACCCTGAGGCCTGCCTATGGCCCACACCCCACAGAGCTCTCCCACAAGTGACACTGACCTTATTGGTCCTGCGGTAAAGCCTGGGGATCTCCAGGGCACTCTTCAGATAACTGAAGCAAGACTCACTCAGGTCCTGGACAATCCTGCTGCTCAGAGCCGGCACATGGGCAGACAAGGCACTTTGGGAGTCCTCCAGGGCCGCTGTGGACACAGGACAGTGGAAGGGGTCACTGGGCCAGCTAGGGTAACCGTGGCATTTAGAGTGCACTCAGTGAATCAGGTCATTAGTACAAACCAGCCACCTCATTTACAGACGTGCAATCAAAGCGCAAAACACAGAAACAGCTAAGAGTTCACGACTGGAGCTGAGGTGCCAGGTCAAACATTCTCTGCAGTCTGTGCACTTTACGTCATTTCTTACTCAAAGATTCTCAGTCTGAGTTCATTTTTTACCTGAGATAGATGAAAAGTTCTTAAAGCCGATCATTTCCAGTTTGGGCTTGACTGTCTCCAGGAGTTCTGGAAGCTGAAACACACATTTTGTACACTAGCGCCTCCTTTCAGTCAGAACCAGCAGCCCTGCACCCATAAACTCAGATGTGACTACCCAGTACTGAAAGCTAAGCCCAAGCTGGCAGGTGACAGTCCCATCAAGGGGCCGCGCCCTCACTACAGAAGCCAACAGCATGGGACTGCTGGCTCCGCGGCCACTGCAGGCGGAAGAAAAGCAGAATCTCGACAGCTCCTCATGACACCGAAACTGCTTACCGTAAGCAGACCACACTTTCTCAGAATACACACGTATTTAACCACACAAAACAGAAACCGAAGGCGTTAAACCCCAGTGTCCCCTGAAGTTCTCTGAATGCTGAGAACAAGGGCCCGACAGAGAACGCAGATGGGGAAATTTCACCATCATCAACACTCTCAAACATCTGGGGCCGTGACCTAAAACTAACTGCGGTCCAGCCCTCCACAGGCCTGCCTGCACAGAGTTAACTGGTGAGGAGACAAGCGGAGCCTGACCCTGCACTGAGGTTAGGTGTCTCCTGAGAGCAAGGAGCTGTGGGCAGAGTGCTGCCCAGCAGGGACCCGGACGCAAAGGCGGCACGCTCCGAGGTTGACACGGAGGGCAGGGGTCCTCCCAGGGCCTATGACCCTGCCGTTCACAGACCCCTGTGCCCGGCATTGCAGGGAGCTCACCCATTCCTGAAGCCTGTCCAGGTCTGAGACCACACACACCAGCTGAGTACTGGAAATGGATGTTGCTGCTGCCGCTGCTGCCGCCGCCGCCACCAGTGCTGGAGGATGGCTGCCTGGGTCTTCGGAAGGCTCTTTGCTGCCAGCCAAAGGTTTTTTAGTCTCCTTCATGCTTTCATTAGAGATGGGCCTGCCAGAAAGCTGAAAAGGATGTCAAGGATCAAACACTCACTCTGCGGCACAGGGCGTTTGTGTGCTCAGGAGCTCTGTGCACAACTTAGCTGAAAGGTGTACAGCACACCAGGGAAAGTCAGCACGTCTACCCCAGGCAGGTTCCGGCCCTGGTGTCTTGGAATTGTGTCTTCTGAGACAGCCAGTGGTGCAGGAAAGTGTGAGAAGCCAGTGAGCAGAGGAGAGGAAGGAGAGAGGCGCCCCGACTTCACAGCGCTCCCATTCCTCCTGGCACCTCAGCTCACGGTAAATCTTCATCACAGCCACACACAGAGCCATTTGGCCAAGTCGCAAAAGAAAAAGAGACTCTGGGGCTTACTGCTCCAAGCCCACAGGGAAAGGTGGCAGAGCTGTGACCGGACCTCGCTGCTCTAAGCCGCTCTGCTCCAGAGCAGGGTGTGCCCGGCGTTGCACTGTCCTGGATTCCTGCGCCACGAGGCCTGGCTTGTGTGTTTGTCACTGAGGATGATGGTGTCCCTGAGGTGGCTCTGAAGACTGTTGTCTGAAGGACCTAAAGCTGGTGCTCAGCTCTTGGCAGTATTAATGCCCTGGGGACAAGAGCCACAGCGTCACTGTGCACCAATAACCAAGCAGAGTGGGTGGAGAGCTAACGCATTTGACTGCTGAAGATTTGCAGAGCCTAAACTGGAGGTGACTGCTTTTATTTTGATGATCAGGTGACTGTTTGAACTTCAACTTCCTTACTTTTATTTCCACTAATTTCCATCAAAGCGAACACTCTACTTTCAGGTGCCTCAGGACTCTGATTTTGAGAAGAGAAGCACACTCTCAGGGTTGGGCCTTCTCAGTAACTAACCCTGAGCAAGCGGCCAGCTGGTCTGACAGCAGGGGACACTTGGAATGTCCCATGGGTCTCAGCCACGCGCCTCTCCAGGCCCTGCCAGCACTGCCTGCTGAGAGACGGAGGCATGCGGCCACTCACCTCGCTGATAAACACGGAGAATCGGGCCAGGGTCTGCAGCGTGAGCCTCCACAGACGGTGTGCCAGCAAAGGCAGGAACATCTCTGCGGACCAGCATCTCTCCAGGCTGCTCCATGTCGTGTGAGAAGCCAAAAGGCAATACGGACTTCCAGCTGGAGAGAAAGCGCCGACTCAGGGCACACCCCCCGGCTACAGCTGCCGTCTGACTCTAGCATTGGCATAAACTCCAGGTAAAGGCAGGGCACACTGGGGTCTTGAGGCCAACGGAGATGCCAGAACAGCCCAAGACCACGTGTGTTCAGTGTGCTGGGTTGGTAGTTCACTGGCACCACTCCTAGGCATGAGAGGCAGCAGCAAACACGGTGTTGGACTGTCTGTGAGCAGGTCCTTCACACCACGGCAACACGCGCAATGGTGTGTAGCCCTTACCAGGCTTCGATTTCAGTTTCTCCTTTCCTACCTCAGCCTGGTACTATCCACACAGAGAAGGTCAATCCTTACGATGCTTTTGCAGAGATGGGCAAAGAAGCAACTCCACAACTCGATAAGAGCTTCCCCTAGGAATGCCCTGGCTGTGCTGGAGCAGGTACTCAGGCAGGAGACCCTGAGCTGCGTGAACAGAAGTACGGTGCACCCCAATGGCTATCAAGAATGCCATGTTATGAATCTCAAAACTGTCCCAGGAGGCCGCATTTGGGCTCCAACTGAGCCGTTCTCGGGAGGGCAGGAGCACGTGGACCATAGGCAGCCTGCACGCAGCTGGGCTGGGACAGGAGGAGGGTGAACTGCTGAAGTCTACAGATAGCTGATGAAGCTACAGCCGTTCCACCGAATACGGCCAACCTCAACGGAGCTGGTCACAGAAACTGGAGTGCAGTGACTGCACACAGGGGCACGGCCTAGACAGGCTACATTCAGGACAGAAAAGGTCTGTTTTGAACTTTGTAAAGCGTCCCTTGTCATCATCTCTCTAAAGCAAGAAATTCAACCAAAACACTGCTTTCTATTTGCTGCATAAAAAATGGTAAATTATCTGAGAAGCTAGCTTTCTAGGGAGTGCCTGCTCAGCATGTTATGGGGTCCTGCGTTCAGCGGTACAAAAAGGAGTCTTTTAAAGGTGTTAAGACACTGTCCTCCCAGCACAACTCACTGGATGGGGAGAAAAGGCAGGAGCACCATCAGGCCCAGGGCTGACTGCTGAGCTCAGGTGGCCCCGTTAGGACACCTGCTGTCTCCATTCTATGGTTACCTGGGGCGTCTTCTAGCCCGGCTGCGAGTGATGCTTCTAGGGATCCGGCCACTTCTCTAAACCTGGGGAGGAAGAACATGGATCAGTGCTGGCCGGCCAGCAAGATGCTTCTCCTGCCTGGCCTCCTCTCCTGTCTGCTCACACCTGGGGTTCTCAAGAATGTCCAAGACGCCCTTTTTCTTTTTACTGTGTAAGACATCACCTCCTCGGTGAAATCGCTGTTCTGCAGGGTTCTCTGCTATTTGCAGCTAGTCTCGCGTACACGTCTTCCAAGCCCTACTGAGAGGATGTCTTAAGTTCCACTCTGTATTAACAGTCAAGGCCACATACACAGTGCCATCTCCAACCCACATGCCAGCAACACCACAGTGAGGAAACCCCCCAAACTAAGACACGAGAAAGCTGGCTCTGCACCTGTGTTTGCCACTTGACGAGGACCCCCAAAGCTCCAGTCAACCCTGGGCTTGCTGCGCAGGCCTTCAGCCTCTGCGGATCCCCTGTGCTGCCTACATCCTGATGACGGCCAGCCCCAGCATCCAGCTGCCCATCACGCCTGGGTTTCACTAACACAGGCAGCATGTTTCCATAACTGCAGCGTGACGCCGTTCCAGGGCCTGACAACTGGCTGCTGCGTGACGCCGTTTCCAGGCAGCAGCCACTGGCTAACTCCGTCGCTAACAGGAGCCCTGACTAACTCTCAAAGAGTTCCTCCCAGGGACACTTTTCGAGTCACTCCTTGGGAATGAAGTGCACAGGAGGAACATGAAGCAGACAGACAAGTGGCAAGAGCCTCAGGGAGCAGCCTGCCAGGGAGCAGCACCCAAGCGCGAGGACTGGAGAAGGGGCTGGGGGTGGCGGAGCTACACGCCAGCCTCTAGAGCTGCCTCAGCCCACAGCATCTTGCAAAATCTACACAAAACACAGGAAAGGAGACCGATGCAGAGGCCTAGGGCCTGGTTCTGCTGTCCACAATGGAAAGATGGAGCATTTAAGGCCTAAGGCGAGCACGTGTCACAGTTGTAGTTAGTAGACTAGAACATGGGACCAAGCACAGGGCATGATAATGGAAAGGAAACAGGTTTAGTTCAGCAGACTAGGTAAAGGCATGGGACCCCAAGTCATGTGAATATTCCTGACAATTCACAGGAAGAACGGAAATGGAGCCCTGACAGCTAGCAGTCCACACTGTCCTGTTTGTCTGCTGGTGAGCCAAGAAACACGACTCATCAAGGCTCAAGCCAGGAGGTATACCTGCCTTGGGCAGGATGGGGTGCACGACTGACCTGATCTGAAAATAAACAGGCAAGTTCCACTTATGGCTGAAGCTGCGGTAGGCCGGGTGTGCTCGCAGTCGCTTCACACTGGCCTGGGATCCACACTGCCGCTCAAACTTCTGCACAAAATCCATGCTTACAGTGTATTTCTAGGAGGAGAACAAAGGGTGGGATTTGCTCCGTCAGCGAGCTAGACAGTGGGGAGCATATGCTGAAAAGTGCAGCCAAGATAGCGAAGGTCCTCGCAGGGTCAGGCTGGAGCTGACTGGCCTCAGCAGCTTCCTCGTCATTCCAACTCCCAGCTCCTTAGTGCCTCAGCCATGCCGGTGGCTCAGGGCCCCTCCCCAGGTCTCTCAGGGAAAAGCCAGAGTCGCCCTACACACTGTGCAAATGGCACCTCTCTGGTTCAGGGCAGCCCTGACCTTTGCACAGGATCACAGATTAAGCGCAATAACTCACCGCACCCCTCTCAAAGCCGAAGTGTTTTACAAGGAACCGGGAAATAGATAAAGCCCATCAGAGGAGACCCTGAAACCAACAGACCTAGAAATGACCACGCCAGCCGTCAACAGTGAGCCCTGACCACTCACGAGAGCGCTCAGACACAACTGCAGAGAGGGAGCGAGCGGCAGCATCTGGGGTGTGGCAAAAGCAAAGGGGTAGAAAAGGATAAAAGCTTGAGGGATGAAAGAAAGTAAGAGCTGACGGAACGTGTGAATGTCAGAATGAATCAAAGTCCTCATCCTCAGTGCAGAGCCCTGGGCAGCCACAAGTCAGGGAGTCACGATCCTGGCGGCAGCACAGAGGGCAGCTTAGCACCTGCCGGGAGAGTCCGAGAGAGTGCGGCCTCTGGCGAACAGCCTGCGGAGAAGAAAAGCAGCGCCAGCGCTGGCAGACACACTGGCTATTGAGCCTTACTGTAAAGCAGTGGTTCTCAACCTTCCTATCACCGTGACCCTTTAATACAGCTCCTCATGTGGTGACCCCAACCACAAAAGTATTGTGTTGCTACTTTACACCTGCAGTTTTGGAACTGTTACAGATCGTCACGAAGATATCTGACATGCAGGATTTCTGATGTGACTCTGTAAAAGGGTTGTTCAACCTCCACAGCGGCTGAGACCCCCAGATTGAGAACCGCTGTTATGACGCCTTCCAAGGAATGAGATGAGGAAGTAGAATGTGCTGACATCCTGCTGGAAGCAACAGCAAACAAACAGCAGAAAAGATAAACCCGAGAGTCACCTGCAGAGTGATGGCTACTGAAGCCAGGAAACCCCTAATTTTAATCGTATCAAACAGGAAGTGCCGGGAACAGCATTGGGAGCTCCGGTCCTGTTGGGGAAGAGGGCACAGAGCATGACTTCACCTATAATTTTATCACGGATGAGGGAGGGCACACCTGCCTCTGTGACTTCACCTGCACGGAAACAATGAGAAGAGTGGAAAGAAAAGCACAGCATAAAGGAGAGAATCCCCCAAAGCCAGAATTACAAAAGGGCAAGAAAAGGGAGAAGGCCAGGGGAGAGGGAAGAAAAAGCAAGCAAGCAAGCAAGCAGGGCAGAGAAGAGCATAGACCCGCTACACCTTTAGGGCCACACAGTGAACACCAACACTGCTTGTCAGGGGAGAGCAGAGCGAGCGCAGCAGCAGCACCAGGGCGGGACTCAGCAGCCAGCTTCCGCTCATACTTGCCGTGTGTGCAGCGCTATCCGGGATGACAGTGGGCAGCCAGCACCCGAGTGGCACACGTGCGGGGGGGTGCTGGGAACCAGAACCCAACTTCTCGCGCTTTCCCACACCAAGAGCTCCTACCTGGCCCACAGCTGAATTTTCACAAAAACCACCTGCATGGATACTGGCTTTATAGTCTTAGGGGGTTGTGAAGGAATGGAGGGATTGTTGCTTATATCTGTATATAACTGCCTCTGGACTGAACTATGGTCACAATCAAAGGAGAGAACGGGGATTGGAAAGACAGGAGCAATTAACTGCATACTGCTCTTCTCTCTCTCTTTTTAACAGGTATAAATGTTTTGCCTGTGAGTTTTTCTGACCACTTATACGCCTGCTGCTGTGGAGGTCAGAAGAGGCTTCAGATCCCTGGAGCTGTGAGGCAGTTGTGAGCCACCATGTGGGTGCTGGGATTCGAATCCCTGTCCTCTGGAAGAGCAGCCCATGCTCTTACCCACTGAGCCATCTCTCCAGCCCTCTGCATAAGGTTCTCATAGAGGACCCGGGTTTGGTTCCCAGCTCCCACGTCATGAGGCTTACAACCAACTATAACTCCAGCTCTGGGGATCTGATGCCTCTTCCAGACACTGCACTCGTGTGCGTACCCATCTGCTCGCACACGCATAAAAAGATATAAAATCGTAAAATAAGCTGAGAGCATTCTCATCACTCCAAGTATCAAATCCATACTTGAAAGAAGCAGTATGTGTTCAACAATCACAGATTTGTTTTTCATTACCCCGAAGACCAAAACGTCAGTGAAAATGTGACTTCCCACACTAGAGAACATTTTTCTTTTCTTTCTTTCCTTTATTTTTCCTATTTTGCTTGCTTTGTTTTTTTTTTTTTTAGACAGGGTTTCTCTGTGTAGCCTTGGCTGTCCTGGACTCACTTTGTAGACCAGGCCAGCCTTGAACTCACACAGGTGTGCCTGCCTCTGCCTTCAGAGCGCTGGGATTGCAGGCGTGCATCGCTGCGCCTGGTGCTATAGGATGTTTTTCAAGAACCGATAACAAGGCATTACCTGGTGAAAGGCATCGGGGTCCCCAGGGTTGAAGAGCGACGGCAGCTTCTCTTCGAGTCCTCGGACTATTTCTGGCCACACTGAATTCACCAGGAAATCATAGCCAGGGACGACAGTGCCTTTCTCACTGTGCGACAAGAGCCGAGAGAGTCAGCTCACCCTCCCTTCCGCTTACTACACGTGTTTACCAGAAGACCTCAGCCACATTGCATTTCCACTGTTCTAAAAACCGCATTTTGTGTCTAGAATATTCCGATTTTACTTCCGGGTCTCAGTGACATACTCCCCATCCTGTCGGGGAAAAGGCGAAGCCGCTGCATAAAGCTGATACAAGTCTCCCAGGCACAGGCCACCACTCAGACTCTTAGCTTGGGAAATGGCAGCCGCGGGCCAGGCACAGTGGCACAGGTCGAAGAATTACGAATTCAAGGCCAGCCGAGGACCCATAACAAGACTGGGTATGAAACCCAGTAGGCTCATACCACAGGGAAATAGCCCTTGCTTTCAAGAACCTCACCATAAGACACTCAGGCTTACCAACTTGTCTATGCTTCTCACACCCTAAGTGATTAGCTCTAAAACTCTATGACGTTTCATGTAAAATCTTGGTCACAAACTTTGATATAAGAAGATGCTATGTTTGTGTGTATGTGTGTGGCACTTGACAATGAACTTCTAATCTGCAAATTTAGCACTGAGGTAAGAGCACACACATCAGCTCATTCAGAGGTTTCTGAAGGATGCAGAGGTCAGCTGGCATTAAAGACCTCCTCCAGTGTGCCAAGGAGGCTGTGAAGCCCTGAGAACCAAGAGAAGGCTCAGCATGGAGGTCTGAGAACTTCTATGGCTGCCAAAAGGCCTGAGGCCTGAGCCTGCTCAGGGTCCTACTGAGCCAGACCATAGAATGGTCAGATGGCAATGCTTAAAGCAAACTGGTATTTACTGAAGAGAGGAAACTGAACAAAAGGAAGGGAACTAAAGACAGCGTGAGGGTCAGCATAAACCTGGCTGAACTGACTGCTGGACACAGGAGGAACTGAATGCCTGACATGGACAAGGCCGGAACTGAAGTCCAGCACACAAAACCAGAAACAACTGCTATGCATATGAGATGTGGACCATGAAGAGAACATACTTTGGTTTACGCGACTTGGAAGAAGGCTGCTCAGAGAAGGGGAGGGAGGCTCCATTCAGAGCCACAGCCTGGTCCTGGCTCCACCCTGCACTTGCACTCAGACCTGCTTTCCCGCAGCAGGGGAGGGGCAGACACACGAGGCTCGTGGCAGCCCTGGGGTGAGCTCAGCTGAGCCCTTTAACTGACCTTGACACAGCTCCTCCTGTGACTTCCCGGAGAAGGCGGCAGTGGTGAGGGACAAATTCCAGGAGCTTGTTGTACATGAGCTGAAGGCCACTGGGATGAGACTCAACAAACTGCTCAACGATCACCTATGAAAAACAAAAACTACTTAAAAATGGCATTCACAGGAAAACCGTGAATGAGATGTGACAAAAGTGGGAGGGGAAACTTGGGCCACTCTTCTTGTTTTTGTTTTTTGAGACAAGGTCTCACTGTGTAGCTACAAAGGAAATCAGGCTGGCCATAAACCCAGAGACCTGCCTGTCTGCCCCCATCGCTGGTGGATCAGAGGTGTGTGTCATTATACGCAGGGCAATGGTATATTTTCTTAACAGTAAAACCTCACCGATCACATTCAGAACCAGCTGCCATGTTTACTGTAGCTCTGACTTGATGCAGGGAAGGAGGCTGGGAGGTGGAAGAGACTGTCCTGAGGCTAAAGAACCTGCTTCCCCCAGAACAGCTGTGGGTCAGAGCAGGGGCCCATTACACGTCCTCACAGCCTGATCCTGGCCTCTTCTACCACTACTGGGCTTAGGATAGGGTATGAGACAGGTAAATAAAAATATATTTCATGTTAATATTTTATTTTTGGTTATAAGATTATAACTCTTATATAACAAAAATCTGTAAGTGAAACGGGGGCTACAGCTCACTCAGCGGTATCCACAAATGAGAAATGTTGCCCCAGGTTCATGCTTGAATGCTTGGTTCTCAGAGGCAGAGCCTTGTGGAGGAAGAACTTCAGTAAGTATGGCCGTTAGTGGTTACAGCCTTACCCACACCTCCTGTTCCTGCTCTCTTTCCTGTGTATGGATAAAAGGTGAAAGCCAGCTTTCTGTTCTTGCCAGCATGCTGTATCTCTCTAGCATTATGATTCTCTCCCTCCGGAACTGTGAGCTACAATAAATTCTTTCTTCCTTATGTTGATTTTGGTTATGGTGTTTTTGTTTTGGTTATAGTGTTCTAGCACAGAAACAAAAAGCAAACTAATACATCAATATACCACAGACTTCAAATGCTTCTTTACTTCAGCACTCCAAACTGAATTACTGATAAATGCCAGCACAGTTTGCTCTCTTCCCTACAAGACGTGGGAAGAACGTGGGAAATGGAAAACTTATCTTAGCAGTTCTGTGGTTGCCCAGGCCTAAAATTAATCTCTATACTTAATCTCAAAGGTGTACTGGCAGGCTGGAGGACAGGCCTCCACCAGCCATCTCCTATCACAAATGCAGGCAGTTCCTGGCACAACACACAACCCACCTGAGAACTGATCCAATAGATGAAGGGCCTTCTAAGTGTCCCTCTGCCAGCTTGATGTGAAAGTCCTCCATATCTGAACATTCCCATCTTCATAGCACCCACAACTGCTCCCCATTTCTCAAGCCTTGACCAATGTCTCTAGTCTCTGAAGAGCTTTTATAAGCCTCCCTGCTCTGTACCAGCTGTCTGCTTAGTCTAATCCACAAAGCCAGTGGTTAAACTGTTTTCTAGTGACTTATTTGGTTATAACTGACCACATTACCAGAGCTGAAACGTTTGACTCACGCCTTCTGCAGGGAGTTAGCACCAGAACTGAAGACATATCCAAGCTGCCTCATGAACACCCATCAGAATGCCTGCAGTTCCAGTTGCCAACCGTGCAACAAGACCCTGTCCCTCAGCCAGCCCACAGAAACAAGCTCCTTGCATCTCTGGTGTATCCGTCTCTACCCAACACCACACAAAGGCAGCACAGCGTGGCTCTGTGTAGTTCCCCATGCCAGAATCACAGACCTCATCGATGTACGGCTTCACCAGAATTTGGCCAACTAGCGCTTCCGCATCCCGTGTCTTGTCAATGGTGGCGTAGGTGCGCAAACAGTGCCGGATGATGTCCACATTTGAGGTCTGCAAGCCTTCCAGCAGGAGGCCTTCCAGAGACTGCTGCAACATGGCTGTGATGCCAACTATGCGCTGGGGAAAGCCACCAGAAGGCTCACGTTCAGTACTTTCCCAGCTCCGAAGGGCCAGACACATACTGCTGCTTGACCCCACAGAGGGCGGGGTGTGGACAGAAAAGGGGAACCCTGGGGCTGGGGATTTAGCTCAGTGGTAGAGTGCTTGCCTAGCAAGTGCAAGGCCCTAGGTTCGGTCCTCAGCTTTGAAAAAAGGCGGGGAGGGACCCACATGGGTTAAGAGCCCGTCTCCTCCCAATGACGTTTTCTTCAAGTAGATCACTGTCTCACCAAAAAAGAATTTACAGAGAGACTAGCAGAATGAAAAAAATGTCATTTTTCTCTGAAGGTACAAACTAAATTGGTTTCTGACAGGCATTATAGATTTAATTCCCACCAACACTGAGTGATGTCCACCCATCTCTAACTCTAGTTCCAGGAGATTTAAAACCTTCTCTGGCCCCTATGGACATCTGTGACATGCAAGAAGCACAAGCTCTCTCTCATGCACATGCACGCGCGCGCGCCCACACACACACTTAAGAAGGGGGGGGAGCTCTGTTTAGGGATTTGGGAAAAGTTAATATTTCCTGTGCCATATGGAGTAGGACTTGGAGTCAGATTTAGAGTGCTACCCCTACAACTTAGAGAATGTGACTTAGTCTTTTCACAAAATCTGCAGAGTGACATTTGGAATACAAGAGCCCCCAAACCAAGACCGAAGCCTAAGGTCAACACACTGTAATTCATAATCAGTGCAAGGCATGCTGCTAAATAAAAAACAATGAGTGAGATTCTCTGCAATCCACAGCCCGACACCAACCCACACTTACGGGTCTCACTTTGTCCAAAAGGGGCATGCCTTTGCTTTGCACAGCATGGAACTGCAGCTGGTTAAATTCTGTGGCAATTCTCTCCAAAACCTGTCCAGTCAGGAGTGGGCTGGGAGAGACAACAAGAAGAGCGTTTAACTGTTGGGTTCTGACTTCCCAGAACACGGGTTCTGGGTTCAAGCCCCAGGGCTCCTTTCAGACCAAGACCACTTGGCCACAAGGTCATTATCAATCTTTGCTGTCTGTCTCCTCCCAAAGGGCGTGCCCAGGGAGTGGGCCACTGGTAAAGTGCGTGTGACGGGTGCTGGTGGGCTTCCTGCCTCCGGGCTGCGTATCCCCTCACCTTCTCGAAGGACCACTCCCAACCACCCTCACGGTCCCTGCTTTGATATACATCTCTCTCCTGTGACCCCTGAACCTTCTTTCCGCCTCCTTCTGAAATACCTCTAATTCTTCTTACACACTTAGTACTTTGAGCATTTTAATAAAGCTGACTTTGCAGCAGTAATAAATAAAACCTCTTAAGTACCTTTCCATTTAAATAACAACTTAAAAGTAATGTTACCAATAGCTGAAGAGCACTGTCTGTATGCTGCAGGTCCAGAGAGAAGGCAGTCAGTGAGCACCTACCCCTAAAACCTGCCATGAAGTACCAAAGCCAGTCAAAGAGGAGGAAAACAGCAAAGAAGAAGTATACTCTTTCACTCTAGGAATGCTGAGCCAGGAAAAATGTCCCTAGCACAAGGACATGGGAACCCCACAGTGAGGCCACTAGACACCAGGCCCTGGACTGTCCCACCAAAGCTATTTCAGAATGGAGGAGAAAGGCTGTCCTTAGTGTCTGCAGCTCTTCTCCTGGAGCCTGGGTTGCTTCTGCCCACTGTCTAACTATTCATTAGCATGCCCTGGCTTTTCCTTTGCCACAGACAGGCACTGGTCTGAGCTAAGCAAAGCTCCCAGAGGTGGTCCAGAGCAGAGCAGGTACAATGCGGCAGGTGCGGCTCTCCCGCGGAAGCCTGCTCTTTCCTGCCGCAGGGCCTGCAGCCTTTACTGGGAGCCTATCAGCAACTGACACTGGCAGTGAGGGGCAGCAGGAGGTGGAGGTCAGGGGAGGCTTTCTGCATGTCTCGCCTATGTGCTGTGATTCAGAACGGCATGAAACTTTCACGAGCAGGAGGGACCAACAGTCTCCAAGACAACGGAGTGAATGCCACAAGCCTCACATTTTTAACTTTTACTTCCACTCTGCACGGTGCCCTCACCACCTCTCCATGCCTCATGCAGGTTTTGAGTGAATTTAGAAACACGTTGAGTGAACTGGGCAGTAAAAGGAGGTGAAGATGAGAGAAAAGCCTGTAGTAAGACAGGCGGGACTGGACACTGGGCTCTGCAGAATTAGAAGTGACAAAGGGAGGCCTGGCACAGAATGACTAAGCACAGAACTGAAGGGCCACATGGCTGAGTCCTGTGCTGACAGCTGGGAGGCCAGGCCTAACTCTGGCTGAGAGGAGAATGTGAGGAAGAAGGTGCAGCAGCAGCCTGCAGTGCCAGCCTCATGCACTATGGGGAGACTACTCCTCTAAGACCCCGAGCTGGCTGTAGGGTAAAGGAGGCCTGGTTCTATTGACGACAGAGGGAAGGAAAAGGGAAAGAGCCGCTTCAGCCCACAGAGCAGGGAACAGAACCCAGTACTCATTTCCTGAGAGAAGTGAGAAAGGGGAAGAGTGGGGCTCTGGGCCCTAGAGAGAGTGAGGAAAAAAACACGAGAGCCAACTGCTCACTTGATGAGTGTGCGTGTCTGAAGAGCAGCTGAAGAGGCTTTGGTGGGTCTGACTGATCCCAGTCTGAGGCTGGAGAGCTCACGTGAGGCTCAAGCTCAGGGTCCCTGGTCATGAGGCCTCTGGCGTGTGTTCTAAGGGAAGAGTATAATGGAAGTTCTGGTTTCTTTGTAAGCTCAGTGATGCTATGTAAATGTTCTCGTTTTAGGCCCAAGTATGGATTTCAGTTTGGGCTTTAGTCTGTCCACAGCTGATAACTGTGGCACGTGGCCTTTGCCAGTTGTAATAACCTGTCTCATGCGTTGAAGAGAAGGGCATGGTCTGGGACTCTGAGGGACATAAATATGAGAGCCTAGGAGGAGACGGTGTGGCCCTTTGTGTTGGCATGTGGCATGTAGCATGTAGCAGTTTGGCGTGACAGTGACCAGAGATGGATGAAGAAACACAACTTCCCGCTGCGTTTGCTGCTGGTACAGACTGGTACAGCCCCAGGGGAAGCCGTTGGCTCTAAACAGCAGGAGGAGTAAAGGGGTCTGTGTCCCCTCTCCCCACTAACTGTCTCTCTCCTACCTAGGGCTAGGGGCTGGAAGGGAGCGGCTTTAAGAAACCCCAAGTAAAGTAGAGTTTAAAAACGAGCTCTGCAGTAGAACAAGACTGGGACGGTGGGCATAGAGCAGGTGCCCAGGAAAGAAGCTGGTGCAGTGTCGGTGCCCACTGAGGACAGGCTGGAAGGACTGGCACAGCAGAGCAAAGTCAATAGCATGCCCTCAGCATGGCAGCCATCTCCCAAATGCTGGCACATGCCACCACGTGAGGCTCAAGCTCAGTGTCCCTGGTCATGAGGCCGGGGTGTGTGTAAGGGTAGAGTGTAATGGAAATGTAATTATAGGCACGTGCCACCACACCTGGCTGAGTCACATTTAAAAACACTAAATCAGACTCAGATTTTCTGTTTTCCAGAAAGAAGTCTCACTCAAGAAAGCTGTATCCCAGATGTGAAGTGCTCAGCAAGAACACTCACCTGCTTGCTTCCAGTGAAGATGCATCTCCAGAACTTGGAGAGTTTAAGATTTTTTCTATTTTCTCAACTGATCGAATAACTTGTATAAGCCTCAACACACTCATCTATAAAAAGGATTCAAGCAAAAGAAAGAAAAACATTTGTTGACTCTTAATTACTTTATTTCCTCATTTTAATAAAGAAGAACAGAGACCAGCATTGTACATTTTAAATACTCTTAACGTAACTGTAAATCCCAAGAACGCAAGCTCAATTCGGGCTTTCCTACAGTGAGTCTCACAACTCTAGCATAAGCTCACAGTTGAATGCCGGCAGGCTGTCTTGCCAGCCCTTCCGCTTACGTTCTTAATGCATTTTCATGTTTTAGTTTCCAATGTGCTCATCTTCTTTAACTGCACGCGCATGGCACACCCTCCATACCCAAGTGTCAGTTCATGGAAGATGTTACTGGCAAAAGTCTGCAGCAGGACAAAGGGAGACACATGGTGCAATGCAATGTTGCCCAGGCTCCCCAGAATGCTGAGCTGCTGGCAGACTGAACTGCACGAGAACCCCTCTGTGCTGGGACGAAGGGCACGCTAAGCCAAGCTTCAGGCGGGTACCACTGCTTACTCCATCAACCTAGCGACCACTCAGGCAATCTTGTCCTACTTCAGCAAGTGGCGCCTGGTGAGCACGAGCAGCCTGGGAGGGTGTCTGTGGCATGTGGCGTGCCGCCCTAAAACACTAACGTTCCGTCTTTGTCTTGCCAGACCAGGCCTGGGAAGCCCAGGCCCTGCGCTTGCCAGCATCACAGAGGTTGATGTCCTTGTGCTCCTGTCAGCAGATACCCGGGGAGAGCGGACCACAGGCCCCACAGTGGCAGGATAAAGCACTAGGTTTGGGGGCAGACACCACAGCATACCTTTTTCTTCCTGATGTCCTCTTGCTTAGACATCCGCTCATCTACTGCCAAAATCCCTTCACTGACAGATGACCTAAGACTCTTGAAAACAGCAAAGAAAAAGTTTTGCAAAAATAAAATGTAACTTTATAAAACTGACACATTCAATTCTATTTCACAAGACTTGGTAGAGCCAGGCTAACTGCCAGAGAGATAGCTGCAGCAGACAAAGGACAACTGAAGCCTGTGTGTGGAACACCTGGGATTTAAAGAGGGGAGGTATGAGGAGACCCTGAGAACCTGCACACAGCACAGGGAGATTCTGAGAAGGCCAACGGGACGAGGACAGCCCAGTCAGGGCATGTGAGCACATCCTGGTATCTGCAGGCTTCCCTCAGAGAAGGAGAAGCTGGAGTGGAGTGCTGCCTTCTTTAGACTAGAATCTACTAGTCTATCTAAATATGAATAAAGCATCATAAGAATAAGGAAAATTAGAACCAAGAAGCCAGGAGCAGGAGGCCAGAAGAACAGAGCCAAAACGTAGCCAAAGCTACTGAATTAGGCCACCAGGAGCAATCAGAATGAAGGCAATGGAACTAGACTAAAGTGGGCAGTAAATCGCAAAGACTTGCATAGAAAAGGAAACTCACTCACTCAATAACTGTTATAAAATACTGCGGGCTACCAGCAAGCCACAGACATCAATCCCTGACCTAAGGAGCTCAAAGGCCAGCTTCAGGGCTGAAGATCAAAACCAGCAGAGCTTGGCTAAGTAACTAGGATATGGTGGCCAGACAGTAAAACAGACAGAAGGCTGAAGGTGGCAAAGAACAAATGAACAAGCCAGCATGAGAGCTGGCCACAGGAGAGAACCCACAGAGCAGAGAGATGGGGCTGTGGGTGCTGCAGAAAGGGTCATAGGGACGTGGAGCTCCCCAGCACCACACGTCACTGCCTTCCGCTCTGTGGAAGTGACTTGGAAGAGCTTCAGAACATTCAAGCAAGACATCAGCGCCCAGCGCTCCTCATGACCAGCTCAAAAGGTGACACAGCAGGCCTCCTTCCTGTCTCCCCTCTAGAGGACACCTGACACTGACACTGTTTCCCCAACACTGCACAGGTGATGATGTCCACCTGTCACATGTTCAGACATGGTGACACAGACAAGTCACCCTGGGACAGAACACCAAGTATGTGAAAGCCCCACAGTACCAAAAGGCCTGGCAGGCAGGGGACCTGAGCCTGTGGGGATGATCAGCAGGCAAAGGACGGGCTGACAGTGAGCTACTGACACGACACCAATCTCCTTGTAATGTTCACCTGGAAGTCCACCCCCATCAGCTTCCTTGCACTGCACAGCATGCCATGAAACACTGAAACTCTGCTGTGCGGGGTGCTCTGTCAAACTGCTGTCATCCGTCAGCTGCTTGGGTTTTAAGAGCTTCGTGAGCTGGGAACCTAACCATGCACCACTTATCACCTGGAAAAATACTTCTAAAACAACACTCAGGCCACCAACAGGCTAACTCTTCAGCCTTTCCTCCTCCAGCCATGTTAAAGCCACCTACTTGAAGACTCTGCTGTCTTCACATCAGTCACGTCACAGACTGTAACTGCACACACTAAAAACAGAGAAGCATTTATCTGCAACTTCTTTTGAGATGAAAACTCTAGCGACTGACAATTCAAAATCAGCAGACAGACTAGAATGCTTGGATTTCTACGCAGACAAGCGTATCATGCTTTTACATCAGACCACTTACTAGGAGTTGGGGAACTTACCAGAACCTCTTCTCTTAATTGTCCCAAAGGCACAGAAAGCTGATTGAGGGCTCTGTCCATGCCGACCTAGAGGAAAAACCATGACAGCTCAAAATCATCAGCCCTAACCCAGTGTAATGATGGAAGCGTCCTTGATGACTGTTGTCAGAGTACAGAAACGTCTGTGGCTACATGTGAGAAAAAGGATGTCAGTCCAGAAAACCTCCTTACATACAATTATCTTTGGACGACTTGGGTTTTTGTGGCGCTGGGGTGAACTGAGGGCAAGTGCCCACCACTGAGCCTGGCCCCCTGCAAGTTTAATGAGCACAGGTTTTAATCTGTCATCTGAAAATGATGCTTCACAGCTGGCTGGTGGCAATCTGAGAAAGACCATCTCACCTCAATCTGATAACTCTTCGGGAAAACACAAATTAAACACAAAGACATGACCATTTCTGAGTTTCTGTGTCTACCGAACAGTCACACCTTAGTAACGGCAGCACATTCACAAAGCAGTTCTTTTTCACGTTCGTCAAAGTTCCCAGAGGTGGTACTTTCTATATTTCTTTGGACAGATATTTAAAAGCAAAATAAAATACAAACAAAATTTTAAAAATAAAAAGAAAGAAAGAAAGGAAGGAAGGAAGGAAGGAAGGAAGGAAGGAAGGAAGGAAGGAGAAAAGGAAGAAAGGAAGCAAGGAAAGAAAGAAAGAAAGAAAGAAAGGAGAGAGGGAGGGAAGGAAGCAAGGAAGAAGGAAGGAAGGAAGGAAGGAAGGAAGGAAGGAAGGAAGGAAGGAAGGAAGGAAGGAAGAAGCTCTCCAAGCCTGCATTCCTACACTGCTCTGACACGGAGCGGCAAGCTCCTCAGCATTCATGGTGACCAGCCTCTTGCACATCGGTGCTGGCCCTGCTCCCTGCTGACATGTGCACGTGTGTCATGCCAGCAAGCAGGCTCTCCTCAAGAGTGGCCGTCATGAGCTCTGGCTCTACACTAGTGTAGACTAGCCTAACCAAAGGGACTTCCGTGAACCTGTCAGTGCCTAACAAAGACAGCCTCCTGCTGCCCCTTCGTTCACCGCACTCACAGCTAATGCCAATACTGACAGGGATAACCAGGCCACCCTGGGCATGGTGATGCATACCTATAGCCCAGCAGGGCAGAGGCAGAGGACGGCTGCAAGCTTGTAGACAGCCTAGGCCGCTCAGTAAGTTCCAGGACAGCCAGGACGACAGAGTTGACCCTGTTTCAAAAGTCAGGCATGGTAGCACACACCTTTAATTCACACTTAGGGGTAGAGGCGGGTGCATCTCTGAGTTTTTGGCCAGTGTAGTCTACATATAGAGTGCCAGGACAGCCAGGCCCACATAGAGAGACTCTGCCTCAAAACGACGACAAACTCTCATCTCAGGAAAACCAAAAATACAAAGCAAATAATAAGAGCACACCAGTTTTATGTGAGCAAGAATTAAATAAAAAACAGGGCACAAGTTCAGTTCTTCTGTGACTGACAATGAGGGCCTGAACCCGGAAACTCCATGTTTCTACAATACTGCACTTCTGAGAACCAGCCCCCACGAGGGCCGTGTCCCATCGAGGCAGGGCTGGGAGGCTCACCAGGTTTGTGGACAGGTTGACGAAGTCCGCGTAGTCCCTGTTGATGAGCTCCACCATGGCTGTCTTGAGCAGCTTGTAGTACAGCTCTAGGTCGGCTCTCAGCTCCTCCAGCTGCACCCGCTTCCTGCAGTCAGACACGAAGTGGTCCACGTCAAAATCCTCCTGCAATGGTGGGAGCCCCATTATGACAGGAAGGAGGAGGACGGGACGCTCACCCTCACCCAGCCTGTGCGCTCCAGAGCCTGTCCTGGTCATGTGCAGTGACACAGGTGCCTGTGGACTCACACAGGTGCCCACAAGGGCACAGGCAGTCTCCTGTGGTCCTACTCTACAGGGACACAGTTCAGTGAAGGCTCCTCTAAGAACAGAAACAGCTTTATTCCCTTAACTTTACAAGTGTTATATGTTCAGGGTAAAACTTCAAGCCAACAGACCATGAAAAGCAGCAAAGAGGGAAGAAGACAATGGAACACCCCTTCTTCATAAATGTGTAGTACTCAACGGCGTGTCTCATGTGCTGCTTTTAATGCACACCTGCTCCTGCACACAGGCACCTAACACTTCTCCCAGACAACACCACCTCTGCTGTGTTTCATGACACACTTGAGTGCTCACTGACACGTCTACACTGTGGGCTTCCATGGAACAGGTGGAGGCCAGCACTTCCCCTTTCAGTCTCCCAGGCTAAGTTCCTCCTCCCGGCACCAGAAGCTCTTGGTCGGTTGATGCACCACAGCCAGCATGGTACCGTCTATTTCATGGCGACTGAGCTTCACCCTCACGGAACTGCTCCTTCTCCACGATTCAGGTCTAACAGGTCCCCAAACTTGTTGAGAACACACTGTTATAGTCATATAATTCCATTAAAGACTGTATAAATCAGAGAACTATGACTGAAAAGAGGAGATCATTTCCATGAGGAGTGAAATAGGCGCTTTGGAAAGACTGGAAATAGGCAATTTGCTAAGACAAAATTTTATTGAGTTACACATGGGTGATGTAAACCCAGGAGGGTGGGGATGGGAAAGTCACAGATCCAGAAGACTGCAGCAGATCCTTGCAAAAAGCCACAGGCCCTCACTCTACTGAGACACAAAGTGAACACAGAAGAGACCATCCTGAAATAGAACCAGCAGAGTAACCCAGACTCACGCCAGGGAGGAACAAATGCGTGCGCATTATCTTAACACGAAATACTAAGGTCTGCACCCAGCATTTCTTCACGTACCAGTTAACACTCTAGTCAACCAACCAAATACCTGCCATGATCATCTAGAGAAGACTTCCTCCAAACGAAAGCATCACAGCCACCTATGGAAAAGCCATCTGCTTCTCCTTCTGCAGTCACAACCAGCCTGGATGCTTGTGGCAGAACACGGCCCACAACCCCATGCTGTATTAGCAGGAATATGACCATGGACAAGATAAGTGAATTACATGTCTTATTCTAGGTGACTTTTACTTAGGGTTGCTTGTTGTCACAGCAAAGCTATGAGATGGAAAATCAAAGATATTCCAGGTAGCTTGGCTCTACCCTTGATCTTAGCCAAAGGCTAAAAAATCAATAGTAACTTAGTTTGCTAAGGCAGCAGGATCAAGAGTTCAGGCCAGTTTGGGCTAAGCAGCAAACCACTGTTTAAAAAGGAAAAGAAAAAGAAAGCAGAGAAAGAGAGCATCTGGTCTGCAAAAAGAAGTATCTCGCTGCCTGTACTGGAGCCGGGCAGGGGGACGATGGACCAATGACCACGCGCTGTGACTTTAAGACCGAAAGTGAGTAAGTGGCTGACACTGTCACCCTGAGGATCAAGACTCACTTTGTGACAAATCTCTGGGCAGTCCGTGAGGGGTCATCACTCCTGTCTTCAAGCACAGGGCAAAGTGACCAAGCAGCTGCCTCACGCTCTGCCCCATTCCTTTCTGCCATGAGGGACTGCCTGTATCTTCTCCAGCTGTAAGCTGAAAAAAACCCTTCCCTAAGTTGCTTTCTGACAGGTCTGTGGTCGCAGGAATGAGAGCACTAATACCCAAAAGCTGTGTGATGGGGTTACTAAGTAGAGACGTGAGTGGAAAGATGACTGGAGTCAGAGAGTCTGCAAACCAATGGGAAGGGCTAATCAAGCCTGCAAATGCAGCGGTGTGGAGTCTGAGGGCAGCTGACAGCACACAGAAGGTCAGGCCACAGCAGGCTAGGAGGGGAGCGAAGGCACAGATGCAGGACCGAGGCAGTCATTAGCAAGGTGAGCATGTTCTGAACAGGAATGAAGTCACATGCTGGACAGAAGGGAAGGATGTGATCTCAACATGCCCAAGTGTGTGCTCTGACTTATCTGTCAGAGCACTACCGCCCACATCTTCTATCACAGTTCACCCATTTCCTCCACCAGCAGTTCTAATATAGTGACACAATCCTGTAATAGCCTGTTTAAAGCTGACCTCAAATTCACGATGAACACTGCATGGAACACAAACCCCTCAGACGACACCCGGGGCACATTTCAACTCCCACCCCACCCCATCTATCTTTCCAGTCTGGATCCTGACATGACATTCCTCCACACTCCAACCACCGCTAACCAAGCAGTGTCTGAATTGGGCACGTTCTTCCTCTGGCCATGCTCAGCGGCCAAACCACACCTTTCCGTCCTTATCTCTTCAAGTCTAGATTTGCAGACGTGTGGTCCAGTGGCCAGTCAATGCCTACAGGTGAGTGAACATTTGGAACCGTTGTATCAGGGGGTGTCGCCATCCTGGCCAAATAACAACAGTCTTGACCCAAATGACTAATTCATGTAGCCTCAACTCTCCTAACACGTGTCTGATATCCTAACCCTGTAAAAAAAAAAAAAAATCTATGCCACTGAAAAACATGTTGAACAAGATACGAATGTATACATACAGCAGTCTGGATAGCAGGCACTCCTCCTGCCCTTTCTGCTACCAAACTAACTCATGTTTCTTTACAGGAAGCACACAAAACAAAGAACCTTAACTACCGACTCCACCTAGAAAAACCAACGTTGCACACACAACGGCTGTATTGTGTGCTTTCCTCTACTATTGAACCGGCCACATGAGCAGAAGTATGAACTGCTTGGCGTTCTCAGATCTGACTGCATGAAACAGCATGGAAGTGCCAGCAGCCACTCCATGCTGTTTCACTCCCCCAGCTTGCTGTATGCTGTCTCACTACTCACATTTTTGTGCCATCTACTTTCTGCCACTGCGTTTAGCAGAGGCACCCTGTCAGGGTGAGTGAGAAAGCCATAGGAGGTAATAAGGCAGGAAGGCTGCTGGCACTGGGCCTGCAGGAGGCCCGAGTTAAAAGGTGACCACATTAAGTTTTCTCACCTCAAGTCAAAACAGGCCATGACCCCTGGGAGAACTTTCTTCCTCCAGTCACCTGTACCTTTGGCTCTTTCTACCCTCTTTCAGGCATCATCGCATTTGAACTCACTTGCTACTCTTGTGAGGACCAGAGTTTGCTCCCAGCACCCACATGACAGCTCACAAGCACTTGTAATCCTGGTTCCTGGGGATCTGACAGCCTTCTGGCCTCTGAGGGCTTCTGCATGCGCTGTGCACAGAAACTCAGGAAGGCAAAGACAGACACATAAAATAATAAATCTTCAAATTACACGTCAGCAGTGTCTTAGCAATGCCACTACTAAGAGTGCTTCATCCCTGCTGTAGGGGAGCCTTCCATGCATGGAAAAGTATGTGGGCACCATAAAGAAGACACAGGTACATTAAAACCAGACACCAAACCCGGAGCTTTGGCCATATAATCTGAATGCAAACACCAAAACAGAGATACGCCAATTAAGTCATGGGGAAAAAATTACCACGTGAAAGGAGAGTCTGGAGCCCAAGTGCGTGCACGCAAACACGCGAACACACACACTATCCCGTAAGCCTTCCATTCATTTGCTCAATATTTTACGTGCCGAAGAGACAAAATTTCTAACTTCCGAACCTTGAAGCCAGCTTTGAAGTGGTCCCGCAAAGCTTAACTTTAAGAGATTAAATGGCACAACCTCTTGGCTCACATTTGTAATCTCGGCCCTTGGGAGGCTTGAGACGGGAGGATCGAGATCTCAAAAGAGAAAAGAACTGTGTGCAAACATGTTCGGGGATGCTGTAAGTGACAACAGCGGAGGGAACACCACTAACAGGCCAAGCTCCTCCGGGTCCGGCGCAAAGCCTGCGCCTCTCCGAGGCTGTGCAGCTTGGTGAAATGCTATCAGCGAAGCGTTTTCGGTTTGGATTTGTAAGCCGGGTTACTGCAGGGCGGCGAGGCTGTCAGAGTGAGGTTCAGCGTGGATACCCCGCGCCACCTTCCACCCGCGACCCGTCCGAGCCTCCGACCTGCCGGGTGCCCCTCACCTTCATGAACTCGTCCTTGTCGAAGCACAGCGTGTCCGGCCCGGTGGGCAGGTTCATTCTGCGGCTCTCCATCACGCCGGCCGCCGGCCCTCAGCCCCAAGCCGCTACTCCGCCAGGGGCAGGAGAGGACGCAGGCTGCACCGAGGGACGCGGCAGCCCAGCCCCTGCGCCGCGTCCACCCCACTTCCGCCAAGATGGCGGACACGAGCGGCAGCCAATAGGCGAGCGCTGCGGGCGGCTGCGCACAGCTGGCGGCAAGAGCGGCGAGCACCAGGCCAGACACTCGCGGCCCGGCGCCACTGCCTCCGGTGGCCGAAGGCGGTACTGCAGCCTCACGCACGCTCCGAGGCTGCTCGCCCTGCAGCAAGGTCAAGAACCACAACAGCCTTCTTTCTGCTAGGTAGAGTCCCAGAGCCGCCTCCTCCGAGGAGAAAACGTCACCGCCCTTAAAGATGGGCAGTGAAGATAATCAAAGGTAATCCCTCTGCGTTTCAGGTTACCCCAAACTTGAAACCATCCCTCTAACTGAATGTGGGGGGGAATTTCAGAGAACCCATCGCCAGAGCCTGCAGTGACAGGCAGGCCTTACAAAAGGGACTCCAATTGCCTAGAGAAGACTTGAGTGGGCTGCAGCCTGTGTCCCTAACATGTTTGGGGGGGGGGTAATCCTCGTTTTCTTTTTAATATTTTATTCTTATCACGAAGTCTTTTGCCCACACATGTCAGGCACCGTGAACTCTCCATGCACCCACCAGGCTCCAGTAACCCCGGCCTATCTCCAGGTCCTCTTTACCCTGGGTGCCACCACCATCTTAGCTGTCATTGGGAGATATTGCTGGAACACTCTGGAGATATGGGGGAGTGCTCATGTAAAAGAACAAAACCATTCTTGCCAACCCAAAGTACCATCCTCACACCTAACAAAATGAAGAGCTCTCTGCTGCTGCTGGACTGAGCGGTGCGGCCTTCAGGCCCTGGCTGCTGTAATTCCCGAGTGCCAAACTGGAAGCACCAAGTGAGGGCCCCAGATGCTGGCAGAGGAAGAAACAAAGACTCCTGGGAAAACTGCCTGATCCTTAGAAGCCTGAAGCTGGAACTTGTATTCCCTTCTGACATTGTTCCCCACGCTTTACCAAAGAAAGTAACCTGGAAAGGTGCAGCCTGGTGCGATAAGCCTGGGATTGCTCAAGGGATTCGGTGGTGACTGGCTGGTTCTGTGTGTCAACTTGACACAAGCTACGGTCATCAGAAAGGAGGGAGCCTCAGGTGAGGAAATGCCTCCATGAGCTCCAGCTGTAAGGTGTTTTCTCAATTAGTGATCCATGGGGGAGGGCCCAGCCCATGGTGGGTGGTGCCATCCTGGTCAGGTGGTCCTGGATGCTATAAGCAGGCTGAGCAATCCCTGGGGAGCAAGCCAGTAAGCAACATCCCCCCATGCCTCTGCAGCAGCTCCTGCCTCCAGGTTCCTGCCCTGCTTGAGGTCCTGTCCTGACTTCCTCCAATAATGGACTATGGTCTGGAATTGTAAATCAAATAAGCCCTTTTCTTCACAGTTTGCTCTTCAGTCATGGTGTTCTGCTGCAGCAAGAGAGAATCCTGACTAAGACAAGCGGCACCGGAGAATGGACAAGGGTCCTGGTGTGTGTTCTCCACCCAGGATTTGGTAGGGAGTATCCTGGAGCTGGTCATACGGACTGCCATTCCATCTCAACACACCCCAGCCAGAGCAGCAGATCAACTTTGGTGCTGATGGAGCCCGTGTGACAGTGGGAGAGGGTGGAGACAAGACCTGTCCAGAGAGTGGGGTGTTGGCATCCACTCAGAGCTGACCATTCTCTGCCCTGTCACACAGTGCGTATGGCCCCTCCTCAGAGGTCAGGGAACAGCCTCTCTCCGAGCTGGCTGCGTACCTGCTGTCTGTCCTTCTTCCTGTTGTGAGCAGCTGCTTGGGGGTCAAGCCCGCCTCCCACTATCTGGTGCTTTAGGTATTCATCTCCTGCTTCATATTTAAGTTAATTCTTCATTGTCAACCTGACTGGATCTGCAGTCACCTACAAGATACACCCCAGGCATGTCTGTCACGGTCTTTCCACAGAGGGTTGGCTGAGGAGGGAAGACCCACCCTGAAGTCTAGTTCAGCATTCCACAGGTGAGGCTCCCAAACCGACTAAAGAGAAGGCAAGCTGAGTGCCGGCATTCGTCTCTGCCTTCTGCCTGTGGATGGGGCGTGACCGGGGCCTTGTGGTCCAGCCACCACACCTTCCCTGCCAAGATGGAGCGAACACTCAGACTTCCTTCTTTAGTTACTTGTTATTACATACTTGGTCACAGCAATGAGAAAATTAATGGCTGCAGGGACTATGTCCAGTAATGATGCCCCCCTCATGGAACCTGAAGAGAGAGTAAATGTGACACGACCACGAAGGAAACCAAATAGTGCCAGACTGGGCGGGTGGTCGACATGCCTTGTTTCCTGTCCCTCTCTGATCCACATTTTTCTCGGAAGACTTTGTGATGGCACATTTTCCTGTCTTATGAAGTCTCTTCTGCTCTGTCCTCCTTTCTTATGGAACATGCACCTGCTACTTCATTTCTAAGTAAACAGTCACCCTGCTTCCACTTGCCGTCTCTGGAAAATTCCTTGTTCCCTACTTCCAGTGGCATCGTGACAAGTCCCGTTTCTTTCTTCCCACTCTGCCCTATTTATAGGTTTCCCGTTTTTTTGGCATGTGTGCCACAGAACTCTCAGGAATTGCAAAGAGAAATATCACACTCAGGAAACTCGTGTAAGCGTTTTCTTTAGTCGCCACCACACAGAACTGGGAGGTCCACCTATTGCTGACGACCAAGGACTTTCCAGTTTTAAAGGGGTCACACACCTACCCTGAAGACTGAGTGTGTAGCCTGACCTCAGTGTCCTTAGAAGAAAGGAGACAAAATGGAGTGTCCTAGTTAGGGTTTTCTTGCTGTGAAGAGACACCATTGACCAAGCCAAACATTTGGTGGGGCTGGCTCACAGTTTCAGAGGTTTAGTCCATTATCATCGTGAGGGGAAGCATGGCAGCGTCCAGGCGGACATGGTGCTGGAGGAGCCACGAGTTCCAGTCTTGACTGGAAGGCGACCAGGTGCGTTTCACCAGAGCATAGCTTGAGCATTTAAGACCTCAAAGCCCCGCCTCCACAGTGACACACTTCCTAATAAAGCCACACCCCTAATAGTGATGGTCCCTTTGACCAAGCATTTAGACAGGTGAATCTATGGAGGCCATTCCTATCCAAACCACCACATGGGGCTGTTAGGGGAGGAAGAATCACTCCCAGCTCCCAGGTCTTCAAAGACTGGCTAAGCAGGAGGATGTATCCAATCAATATTTTAAAAGCCTTTCTTTGATCCTTCCAGGTCTTCACCCCATTCCAGCCCTAGGGATTAAATCAGGCCCTGGTGAATTTATGTGTTCTGTCACTACACTGTATCTATATTGTCAGTCTTACCTCTATTTTTTAAAGTAACTTATTTTTAATTGTGGTGTAGGTACACATGAGTACAGTTACTCACTGAGGCTAGAGGAAGGGTACAAGGAAGCTAGAGACATCGGGCCCCCTTGGAGCTGGAGTTACAGGCAGTTGAGAGCTCTCTGCCATGGGTGCCGGGAACTGAGCACTGGGAACTGAGCACAGGTCCTCCGCAAGAGAAGTTTGCATTCTTAACTACTGATCTGTCTCTCCAACTCCGACAACTTCCTCTGACTCTCTATTTGAGACAAAGTTGCACTAGTTCCCAAGGCCAGCCTGAACTCACTGTGTAGCACAGGCCGCCTAGAACTTGTGATCTTCCCGCCCCGCCTCCGGTTTTCCCAGTAACTCCTGCATTTCCCTCTGCCCCCTTTCCTCACAGGGCAACTGTTAAAACAGGCATCTAGGCTGTCCTTGCCAAGCTGGGCTTGACAAGCTCCCAGAAGGATCCAGTGTGCAGACAAACTTCATGAGCCGCACTTGAGAGCCTAGGTGTGGTTGTCAGGAAAACTGACAGCAACAAGGCTGGGTGTGTGTGGTGTGTGTGTGTGGCACACACCTGTAGTTGTTCAGGAGGATGAGGCAGGAAAATGGGGAGTTCCAGACTGAGTTACATGGTGAATCTGAAGGTCATCCTGTACTGCAGAGAAAGACCTTGTCTCAAAAAAAGAAGGAAAAAAGGAATCCAGAAACAACAAAGTGATTTGCCAGAGAACAAGCCTTGATCATCCTCCCTCTTTCCAGAATCATGGTCATTCCAACTCATTCCTTGGGCTGATACAAAGGATGAAGGGAGGTGCATTTGAGGTAAATGGCTCTGGAGGGTGGTAGTGGCTCCGGTGGCTCCTAATTCTGCATCTCTGATTTGTTCAGGTTGAAAGTTCAGAGGCAAATTCAGAGCTCTGATTCAGGTCATAGATAGCGGCCTTTCAAAATGAAAATGAATTGTTTTGTTTGCTTTGAGGGACTACTGAGTTATTTTGTATTTTCAGATACAGTAGAAAAAAAACTCACTTATAAATTTCTATTTATATTTTTCAAAGTCAGTGTGGTACAGCAAATGAAATAATTGAAATACAGGTTGATATTAGGAACATTTTATTCCAATGAAGTTATTTTTTTTTCCTATCATCTTGCTAAAATAATAGTTTCACTCTATGTTAGTCAATATTGTCAACGTTGATTGACAGGATCTAGACTCACCTTGGAGACAAAGCCCTGGCATGTGAGGAGCGTCTAGACAAGGCTGACTGAGGTGGGGTTAACCTGAATGTGCGGGTACCATCCTATGGGCTAGGCTTTGACTGAAAACAACGGACAAGGCGAGCTGAGCCCCGGCATCGTCTCTGTCTGCTTCCTGACTGTGGCTGCCTCATGCTCCTGGGGCCACGCAGCTACCAATCTGGTGTACACTGCAAGGGCCGTGTACAGCCTTCTGCGTGGTTGTATCAGAACCTAAATCACCCTTCTTAAGCATGGGGGACAAGGGGTATATTTCATATTCTGTGCTATTAGAACACTCTCGTTCTTCATATCGGAGGGAACCAGCACATGAACCACCTAAACAGTTCCGTTTGTCCTGGGTTAACGCCTCTGTATTAACCCCTGGTGGCACTGCGTGTGTGGGGGGTGGTGTCCAAGGCTAGGTGGCGTTGGACTTTGCAAATTAG